TTTTATTAAAATTATATGTTGTCTTATTTTATTTTAATAAACTGTGAAAAAAGAATTTTCGAAAAATTATCGTAAGACTGATACACAAAACTATTTTTGCAGTACTACTTGCTTTTCATTTAGGCCTCTAAAAACTCTTCAGCCCTATCCCTTTGTTATTCCCTTACCCCCACCACAAAAACACACGTACACAAGTGAATCACACACAAAACTAAAAAAAGGAAAAAAATACACACGAATTTAGTAATTTTTTTATATTATATAGATAGTTTTTAATATTAATGATAATATACAGGTTTATCCACTGTCCACCGGTAGATGGTTCTTCTACGCCTGTATAAGTGTGTGTAAATATCGCAGGAGAGCCATCTATTGGACGATATATGTACTTACACCGGTCACTGAAAGATACACATTCCCTAAAAACCCTATAGTGTTCCCTTTCTATGTTTTTTAGTACCATACGATCGAGAAAAAAAACGTCGTCAAGGAAGGCTGTGGAATAGCAGTTGATGATAATTTTGTTGAGGTCCCTTTCTGCCAGCTGGCGTTAAAAAATGACGTCTAGTAATTGACCTTGTCATTCCCCAGTCGTCTTAGACGCCGTTTTTTTTCGATTATACGGTATACATGCCATACCTTCCCATGAAAATGATTGTTTGCCATTTTTTTTTGTTTCTTTGGGTCACTTTACAAAAAAAAAATAAGTGTATAGTGTGATTGTTTTTCTTTTAAGTTATTTTAATTATTGATAATTATTGTATATTTATACAGGGTGTCCCAATATTCCGGTGATCCAATTTAACTTATTTTGATTTTAAAAATACCTAGTTCTTCTATATGTCCACGGAATATTCGGACACCCTGTGTATATTTCCACACGACGACGAGACATTGGCATATTAGAATATCGCGTAAACTCGAGTGTTTATATTATTTTTGTAATGTGTACATATTAAATAAGGAAAAAAAGATTATATATATTATTTTTTTGTTTAGTTAGGCGAATTATTGTTTCTCGTTTTAGATCAAATCCTGTAATTCTTTATTATTGTATTTAATTTTTTCTTGTAATTTTCTTTAAGAGAATTCTTCTGTAGAGTACTAAAATGAATCACGTACAAAGTCTTCATCAATTTATTTTTTTTTTTATTTGTTATTTTTTGTAGGCATCAAAAATGTTTGACTTTTTAAAATAAAATAACAACTAATTCAAATAACTCTCTCTACTAATTTAAATAACTACTAATTGAACGTTAAAAAAAGTGTTTTAAAAAATTTTAAACTATAAATTACAAAAAAAATAGTACCTACAAAGTGTTCCATTTTTGTAGTAGAGCTACAAAGATGCAGTTTTCGTACTACTATGTTACTTTTTTTTATGAAACTAAAGATGCTACAGACAGATTTGTCTTAGTCTTCTTAGTTCCTAAAATATAGAGCGATTTTGAGAATACTGCGTTTTTTACCCCCTTTGAAACCTGAGACCCTTTGAATTTTTGGTGTAGAATTCAGTAGCGTAACTAGCTTTTCTTTGGGAACTGTCATTTTTGAATATACAGGGTGGCGCACTTCATTCGCCTCGGTTGATTATACTAAAACGAAAAGATGTAGAAACAAAATATTTTAGGGATATATGTGGGGAGACAATGTGTACAATTTAAAATTATTTTGAAATATACAGGGTGTTTCAGAATTAAGATGTTATTATACAAAGTTATATTTTATTATATACAAAGTTATATTTTTTCTTATGGAACACCCGGTATTTTATTTCATTTTTGGATTCTTGGGCCCAAGAAAAGGCATTTATTATATGGGGTAAATATGTTTAAAATGTTTAGTTTTTGAGATTAGACCAGCAATTTTTGATACCCCTGTATACATTTAAGGAAGGAATAACATTTTTCTGTAAAGTTTATTTCTCTACCTTTAAACACAGCACAAGAACTAATTCTGAAAAGTAATGTACAATCTATTCTATTGTAGCATGCAAATTTAAATATCTTTCAATATCTCAAAAAACAAAGATTTTAAACATATTTAACCCTTATAATAAATACCTTTTTTGGGGCTCAAGAATCCAAAGATGAAATAAAATACCGGGTGTTTCATAAGAAAAAATATAACTTTGGTATGGATCTTAGTTCTGAAACACCTTGTACATTTCAAAATAATTTTAAATTGTACACATTACCTCCCCACATATACCCATAGAATATTTTGTTTCTACATCGTTCAGTTTTCGTATAATCAACCGAGACGAATGAGGTGCGCCACCCCGTATATTTTTTTCTTTGCCTTGTTATCAATTTTCTAAAAATATAGCCCATTCTTATTTTTGTAAATGTTGATGCACTTGTCCAATCATTTCACACACGGCAACTAGAAAGGAAAAATCCGAGTATATTTTTAGAATACTCATAATAAGGCAAATAAAATGAAAAAAAATAGGGTGTCCCATTTAAAAAAAACATATGTGGGTCATGTTTCAAGAATGACAGCTTCCAGCGAAAAACTATGGGACTCGAAACCATAAGATATCGGAGATACGAGGAGACTCGAAAAATGCATCAATTTCAAATTCTCCCTCTATATCAGGAACTAAGAGGTGTAAGACAAATCTGTCTTTAGCATCTTGAGTCTCATAAAAAAGTATCATAGCAATGTGAAAACCGCATCTTTGTATCTCTATTCATAAACGAAAAACCATGTAAAACACGAACAATGGGACACCCTGTACAAAATATCAATATAAAACAAAATAAAATAAGTTCGATGTTGACTTGATTTGTGATGTGATTTACACCATTATACATATTTATATTTTACTCTCTTGTTTTTATTTCTAAAGGTGGGTTTATATGCATCCGTCATGCGTCATCCGTCTTTCCGTCATCACACCAATTGTGTTGCGGTATTACCTGTCATTTTTGAAGTAAACCAATAAAATCAACGACTGACAACGCATGACGGATGCATGTGAACCCACATTAACTGTTTTTTTTATTTATCTCTATTATTAATAAATGAAATTGTAAATGAATAGCTGTCATTTGGATGACAGGAAGAGGTCGAACCGTACGAAAGCATATTTTCTAACATGTCATTGTTGGAAAACGATGAAATCACTTATCACTCTGTACATGATAGCAAAAAATGTATTATTTATTCATTATTAGTTTGTAATCATGCTTGCATTGCAATAAAGTCGCATACAATGTAATATACTTGACTGGTTTTATTTCAAATCCCTTATAATTTACATGGTGTTTCCATAAGTAGTCAATTTTTAAATTTTTTAACACCCTGTAGTCAAAAAGGAAGTAGAGACCCCAAACGTCAGTTTATATGAACACACTGAATCTTGACTACTTAGGTAACACCCTGTATATGTTACAGACATTGCTATACACAGGGCATTTACGAAAATGATCATGAACTATGGGCAATGTTGAAAATGTTACTCTTTTATTGGTTCTTGTTAGTCATTGTGAGAAATATATAATGATATATATATATATATATATATATATATATATATATATATATATATATATATATCAATACAACTATCGGTAGTAACAGCAATATAACAGGTAACATTTTCTCAATGCCTCTGAAAGCCCTTTCTACTGCACACTGACAGTGACATTCAATTTTAAAATCAACACATCCAAGCAATAAGTTCATTAAAATTAAAAGTTAACCGTATCAAAAATTCTTGACTAAATGGTGAATGCAACTGCTTACTCCTGGTATCGAAAAATACCTCCTCGCTTTTATATGCTCCTGGTACAAATTTAAGAGAATTCTATTTTCTATATGCCATTTAAAATTCTTGACAAAATGGTGAATGCAACTATTTACTCCTGGTATCGAAAAATACCTCCTCGCTCTTATGTGCTCCTGGTACAAATTTAAGAATTCTATTTTCTATATGACATTTAAAATTCTTGACTAAATGGTGAATGCAACTGCCTACTCCTGGTATCGAAAAATACCTCCTCGCACTCATATGCTCCTGATCGAAAATCCAAGCGTCAGTTTTTAACAAAAGGTAGTCAAAATAAATTACACATGGCAAAAATCGGAGGACTTCACCAACGAGTTCGAACGAGTTAGATTTTTTCGAAAAACGGCCATAACTTCTAAACTATAAGAGATATCGAGGAACGGAAGTCGGCATTCGATTCGCCTTTCAACCCTCTATAAGGGTGCATAATTAGGGCGCGATCGGAGACAAAAAAAATTTTTCGGCAAAAATGAAGGAAGGTTAACCCCTTACCTCATTTTTCGCCAAAAAATTTTTTGGTCTCCGATCGCGCCCTCGTTTTGCGCCCTTATAGAGGGTTGAAATGCCTATCGAATGCCGAGTTCCGTTCCTCTCTAACCCTTATACTTTCCGAGATATTAAGGGTTGAAGTTTGGAAACGAGGTCAAAGTGCTAGAGATAGCAAAAATACCGTTGTTTAATGCTATATTTACATATGGTACTAAATTTGCTCCTTACCTCTTCGCTTTTATGTGTTCCTGATAGAAATCGGCGATTTTTGACTCGGTTTAAAATTTTTCGTGCGGTCTTTGACAAAAATCGAATTTTCTCGGATATGTATCAGGAGTACATAAGAGCGAAGAGGTAAATATTGGTACTCAATTTAATCCTTACCTCTTCACACTTATGTGCTAATGATAGAAATCGGTGATTTTGGGCAAGCATTAAAAATGTTCATCCAATTTTTGTTAAAAGCTGAATTATGTTGGATTTGTATCAGGGGTACATAAGAGCGAGGAGGTAAAGGTAGGTATTATTTTTATATAAAAATACTGTCTATTCCAGAACAACTTGTTAAGTTGTTTAATATTAGGATATGTTATTTATGTAATTTTTAAATGACTTTCTTTTTGTTCAGGATTAGACAGTAGTTTTAATTTTGGTTCAATAAAACTCATTTATTATTAATTATTATTTATTTACATATTATATTTTATTATTATTAGAGTAATTAGAGTATATTAGAGTAACATAAAAAGTATATTAAAATCCAAGGAGTTGATGGACATGCTGATGTCTATGTTGTGGTAAATAAATCTTCTGGCTACCCTTCTGGAAAGTCTTGGTTCTGTAAGGAAAATATAAAGAAATAATTAATTATTTGTTCACTAACAAGCTTGATTAAAAACTATTACCATATGATCGAAAAAAAAACGGCGTCAGCGATGGCTATGAAATGAAGATCGCTGTCATTTTATATGTAAATTTATATGGGAAATGTCATCGATCGTCATTTCCCAGCCAACAGGACGCCGTTTTTTTTTCGATCATACGATACTTCTATAACTTGAAATTATCAGTAAATTGATAGGGTACATAAAATATTACAAGATATATGTATGGGAATTTTCGTAACATAGAAAACTTTTTTAATAGTAATACGAGGAAAAAATATAGTTAAGTTTGCTGTATTTGTAATTAAGAAATATTTTAATTACACTAATTATAAAGTGTTAAAAATTCTCACTTTTTATATAGGCAACTATATATACACGTTAATGTATTTATAGTTGCCTATACATTGATAAATTGTGGCGTCAAATTTTGCCGGTTTGATTTGCGCCGTTTTATTTGAAATTACCCATTTATATCTATATCTTTTACAAAATACAATAATATTAGGTATTTATTAAACATATCGATTGAAAAAAGACACCTTTTAGTATAATTTACCTAAAACTATATTCCTGTCTCTTCAATGATGAATTATATCCTGAAATTCACTGCTGAATGTTGAATTTAATCAACCAAATGACATCTTGAAGAGGGGGTTCAACTGAAGTGCAGCTGTCCTTGTCCGAAAAATCTTTGTTCCAAAGCAGTACAATATCCTATTCAAAAATTCAATTTTAAAATGAATCAGAAGCAGAATAAAAAAAATCAATTGGAAAATAAACAAAATTTGTATAAAACTATTCAACTATTATATGTAGGCATCAATAGAAATACAATCAAAGACTTGAGAGTCTTAAACGAATAGCAATACTATAAACAATAACATAAATAAAAACAAGTAATTTAAAAATACAAGAAACAGTAAAGTTTTACTGTGCATGATATGATGAATTGAAAAAAGCCAAGAAAAGTGATTCTAAAATTACACCTCTCAGCTTTCAAGAAATAAAATGCCTTAGGGAAGCCTGGACATAGAATTACACAATACAAAAATAATTAAAAACGATACAAGTGAATGATGACTGATAACTCAGAAATACATAAATTAATAGATTTACTAGAATCCTTCAAGAATGTAGATAATATGGGAGACAAATAAAAAATTAAGGTATAATAAATTAAAAACGATTGCATGAAAATGACTGATAAAAGTCAAAGAAGAATGAGAGAGAAAAATATACAATTGTATACAAAAAAGACGACGAAAATTCACGAAAATGGATAAAACATAAGATAGAATTCTATCAGGTAATAGAAATGTAAGAATATCCTCTTAGCAATCAATGCTCTTAGCAACGTTTTTTATAGAGAGAGTTTATAGAATTGATGAATGATAATATTCTAGTAATAAAGAAAATATGGCAGACAAAAATAGTGAAATAGAGGTAGGCCAAAAGCAAGATTGGTCAAAAATTTTTAGATGATATTAAAAAAAGAGGAATGTGGTCAATACGAACTGGAAAAATGACAACAAATTATGCTTAGCCTCCTCTCAGAAATATCTAGTCAAAATTTAACATCAAGCACATAAAGAAAAATCCTCCAGAGCATCAAGTTCGCCCCCCCTCATCCGATTTAACCCTTGTCCACGATTAAGCCTCACCAGTCAGTTCCCATCCCAGCTAAGCAGCCTCGTCTCGGGTCGCCCTCGTCACCCATCGAGCGGACATCCACCGGGACCCCCTACAGGCGGACCCCCCTCATCATCTTCAATGTGTCCGATATCCCGCCCCCTGCCTCTTCGAGGGTCACGGAATACGTGCACGAAGAAGTCTCGGAGCTTGGATGCCAGGTCGTATCCGGCCGAAGCCTCTAGCGTTAGAACACCTAGCTCGTAAACCAGAGGGTGGTGACTCCCTTGGGTACCTATGCATGCTACATAGGTCATCGATGCCCGAACATCAGGGTTAGGGAGCGACCCGGGTCTCCTCTTTTGCGGGGAGGCTAGCTGTGATGCTCTGGAGTCGATATTATTCAGAAAAATTCATTGGAAAAAAGGCTAGGAAAAACAGAAGAGACATCGTCTGAGGACGAGTCAGGTTTTTTGAATAAATGGCGAATGCGCCAGGAATTGATTGGGAATAGTTCTTATTGTGGGAGTTTTAAGTGTATTTTGTGTGTTTAAACACAGGCAAAAGGAACCAACAAGATCTGTAAAATTATAGCAATTCATGGGATACAATCTGAAAAAAATGACATAAAAATGTATCCATCAAAACTAAAATTCTGTACAAGGAATTACACAAGCAAAAAAGCATTAGAAAAATAACACCATAAGAAAAATAATGCAAATAAAAGAGACTTATTGAAATACAGGCAATAAAATACTTTAAAGAATTAATGAATGATGTTATTATTACCACAATGGAGAAAATATGGGACTCAGGATATTATAGAAAATTGAAAGTTAACCAAAAACAACAGGATGTAAAATTCTAATTAGATTTTACCAATAAGAAAATGAAGTGGCCAAAGGCCAAAAAAATTAGATATACTTGTAAGTCCTTATGCATTGTTGGTAATATTCATGAAAAAGATAAATGTACTGCCCTGGAACTGTATACAACGATCGATTTGTTGTACAAAATCTGTAACAAAGAAATAAACAATATTACATTTCATTATAATTTATATCTACAAGTTTTACATATATTTGATTAAAAAAAAAATATTTATTAGATATATTTGATTTAAAAAAAATAGTACTATTTACCTAAAATGATTTAGGTTCTCTTCAATGTTGAATTTCGTGATTCCACTGTCGAATGTTGAATTTATTCAATGTAATGGGCATCTTCTTCAAACTGTTGCAGATGAAGAAGGACATAACCATCAACTGTCCACGAAGATAAAGCCTACTAAATAGAATTATTAAGCTGTAGCATATCTTTTTTACTCAGTTACATATACTTTAGTTAATGTTAATAGATATTATTAAATCCTTTAACAAGGGAGATACATAGTATTTTATAATATCTACTAGCACATAGTTTGTAAAGTAAGTGCATTAAAACAGTAGATGCATTTAAAATTTAAATTTAGAAATAAACAATGCTATAATTTGTTCTTGGATTTAATTTCAAATTTTTTTAATGATCGAGTAGGCAACCAGTAAAATTAAGAACTAAAGAAATAAATTAAGTTACATGCTGGTTTTGATTTAAGCATAAGTATATACGTATATAATAATGTGACTAAAATAAATATAAACTGTGAAAAGTACAATTGTTCCTGTAATATATTAACAAAAATTAAGACTTACTTTGTTTAGTTTCAAAGTCGTAGTTGTAGATATGGCTGAACTGTGTTAGATAAGCCTCAATTTGCCATAAATCTTTGTCTCCCGATGCTTTTTATCTTCCTGCATCGGATTTAACCCTTGGTCAAAGATTAGCTACCTTCTCTGAGATCACTCCTACCTCCTCTTCTGTGAAAGGATGCATGAAGAATGTATGCTCATATGTGCTATTATTAATGTCTAAAACAAAACAAAAAATATATTTGGGACACTCAAAAATTACAATCTTCTACTAAAAATTACTGTTCTGTTTGTGAAAAGTATATTTGTTAGAGTTTTTAAAGTAATTTTTAATCCTTAACGTAATAATATGCAGTCTTTTGAAGTAGTGTGACTAATACCCTTGTATTTCAGAAATCAAAACAACAAAGTTTTTACCTACTACGTAAAAAAAGTGTGAGAATATCCAGATCAAAACAAGAAATTCCTTAGATAGGATCTTTTCCTCGTTAATGTATCTAAAAATTTTGCGATTTAGCTTTCCTAAAATTAAACAACAATACAACTAAAATACCATATTTCTAAATGTGCAGTTTGGGAAAAATGGGAATGATAAAAACATTATGTAATATACTATGTAAAATGCAATAAACAATGTAATATTTAGAATAAAACACATCCAAACCTTTAGAAAATATATTTTATGATGTTAAAACATAGAAAATAATATAGTAGACATACAAAAGTTAATATCTGAAAAAACTCCAGTCTCCATGACGGATTATAAGTGCAAAAACAAAGACAAGGCTAACAAATACAAAGAGAACTTATAATTTGTATTGAAATCAACAATTACGTAGTAATGTTTGATCATTTTTTCGTTAGGAAATTATAAAAGAAAGTATTTAAACAGTATTATTACGTAAAAACATTGTTAAATTCCAAGAGACGCCGTTGGCGATAACAAAAACTTTGGAGAAGAAAAAATACGTAAAATATCACGAAATAAACGGTACTTACTATTACAGATGATCGAGCAGAGCCTTAAGAAAAGTTTATGAACAAATAATACACAATAAAATCACCTTTTCCAGCAAAAATTTCAAAAAATCGTAATCCCTGACGGCAAACCGCAGTAAGACATGTTTAATTTTTCGGTTAAAAAAATCATAAATGGTGCTAAATAAAAATAATAGATGACTCTGATCAGACACTTTTTGGAACCCTAAAAATATAGATTTCTGTTAAATGTCGTTAGAGTTAACTATTCCACGTTCGATGGTGCCACACTTGAAATAGTAGATTTCTTTATTCTAAAAATTCACAGTACAGTCACCTTCCGCTAGATGTCAGGAGAGGCAATTTTACAGAATTCTACATCTATTAATAGCGTAGTTTCGTTACATTGCGGCAGATAGCGCCACAACTAAATTTAGTTACAAGAAAAATCACCGCGACAAATTGGCGCTGCAATCATTTAGGCGGGCTTTAAGGAAAATTTGAATGGACACATTTTTCTTTTAGACAGATCGTTATTGCAATATAGTCCAGATTCTTATTTAAAATGTCCAAAATAACTTTATAGCATATTCAGTTTATTGAATATTATGTTAGTTAGTACACTTATTAATATAATTACAGTTAAAAAATATTTATTTTTTAGAATATTTAGAATGATATTATGAGAAAATCATCTAAATAATATGATCTAAACAGTAAACTATTAGACTTTATGCTGTAAATTATATGACTGAAATATTAATTGTTTAATAAATGGCTATAATTTTTCTAAGAGTCTAAAAATTCATTCAAAATCCCCATAATAGGAATTTTAATGAAATCTAATAAGTACCACCCACATTAATGTTTAAATTATTTCCGGTACTATAATACTGATAACCGTGTGAAGTACTGTATGTATTCAGTAAAGAATTTATACCTAAATATTTTACAAAATATCTACAATATGAGGCATTTGTCAAATATACTTGATTTAAAAAAAAAATATTTTAGTATAATTTACCTAAAATTATTCTATTCCTCTTCAGTGATGAATTTCATCCTATTGAATGTTGATCCAATTGAATGTTGGATATAATCAATCTAATGGCATCTTGATGAGGCTTCTTGAATTGAAGTGCAGCTGTCCTTGTCCAAAAATCCTTGTTCCAAAGCAGTACAATATCCCATTCATGAATCGAAAACTATACAATCGCATGTTGGCATCAACAGAAATGAAATCAAAGACTTGGAAGTCTTAGAAGAATTACAGCAAATAAGAAATAATACATAAAGAAGAGATTAAGAAATAAAATTAGAAGAAAAACAATAAAGAGAAAGACTGTTTGCCTTGCTTGATAGCATCATATCTCTTAAAGAAAAGTGGAACTTTGTGAAATTGATCTTATGGACAGCAGATCCTAGGATTGTCTGACTGAAAATATTTGCTAGTTCATTTAGCGTTACCCAGGGTGCACCCACGTGGAGGCGAACTAGCTTTACCCCCCAGAATAAAAACAATATGAGAGACAAATAGAGATAAGATAAATTGAAAAAAACTGGTGAAGGGAAGGAAAAATAGATAAACTTGGAAAAGTTTCAGAAAAAAATGTCTATACCTAAAAAAATGTACCTACATAATATAACAAAATTAGTCAGACAATCAACGGAAAAATTTATAGAACTGATGTATGATGACACTCCCATAAGGAAGAAAATATGGAAGACAAATAATAAAATAGATATGATTTAGTTGCAGAAATTGAAAAAAATGGCATGAAAATGAATTCCAAAAAAAAACTATAATTCTAGACGAAATATGTCTTAGAAGAATCTCAGAAGAATGACACAAAAAAGGTATACAAAAAACTTAAGAGAAATACAATCAATAGAAGAATTTATAGAATTAATGAATGACGCATTCCTATAATAAAGAAAATACGGGTGAAATATAGTGAAAAGGATATGATGAATTGAAAAAATATACAAATTTACAGGAGAGTCATTGGAAGAGTATATACAAAATTGATGAATGATATTCCAGTAGTAAAGAACATATATGGCAGACAAAAATAAAGAGGTAGGCCAAAAGCAAGACGAAGCAAAACAATATTAGATGATATTAAAAAATAAAAAAGAACCTGGTAAATAACAACACGAAAAGTTATGCTTAGCCTCCTCTAACGAATATCTCGTCAAAATAGGACTCAAGTACATAAAGAAAAATCCTCCAGAGCATCAAGTTCGCTCCCCCCTCAACCGATTTAACCCTTGTCTGACGATTAAGCCTCACCAGTCAGTTCCCATCCCAGCTAAGCAGCCTCGTCTCGGGGTCGCCCTCGTCGCCCATCGAGCGGACATCCACCGGGACCCCCTACAGGCGGACCCCCTCATCATCTTCAATGTCCGATATCCCGCCCCTGCCTCTTCGAGGGTCACGGAATACGTGCACGAAGAAGTCTCGGAGCTTGGGTGCCAGGTCGTATCCGGCCGAAGCCTCTAGCGTTAGAACACCTAGCTCGTAAACCAGAGAGTGGTGACTCCCTTGGGTACCTATGCATGCTACATAGGTCATCGATGCCCGAACATCAGGGTTAGGGAGCGACCCGGGTCTCCTCTTTTGCGGGGAGGCTAGCTGTGATGCTCTGGAGTCCATATTATTCAGAAAAATTCATTGAAAAAAAGGCTGGGAAAAACAGAAGTGACATCGTCTGAGGACGAGTCAGGTTTTTTGAATAAATGGCGAATGCGCCAGGAATTGATTGGGAATAGTTCTTATTGTGGGAGTTTTAAGTGTATTTTGTGTGTTTAAACACGGGCAAAGGGAACCAACAAGATCTGTAAAATTATAGCAATTCATGGGATACAATCTGAAAAAAATGACATAAAAATGTATCCATCAAAACTAAAATTCTGTACAAGGAATTACACAAGCAAAAAAGCATTAGAAAAATAACACCATAAGAAAAATAATGCAAATAAAAGAGACTTATTGAAATACAGGCAATAAAATACTTTAAAGAATTAATGAATGATGTTATTATTACCACAATGGAGAAAATATGGGACTCAGGATATTATAGAAAATTGAAAGTTAACCAAAAACAACAGGATGTAAAATTCTAATTAGATTTTACCAATAAGAAAATGAAGTGGCCAAAGGCCAAAAAAATTAGATATACTTGTGTCCTTATGCATTGTTGGTAATATTCATGAAAAAGATAAATGTACTGCCCTGGAACTGTATACAACCATCGATTTGTTGTACAAAATCTGTAACAAAGAAATAAACAATATTACATTTCATTATAATTTATATCTATATTATATTATATAAGTTTTACATATATTTGATTTAAAAAAAAATATTTATTACATATATTTGATTTAAAAAAAATAGTACAATTTACCTAAAATGAATTAGGTTCTCTTCAATGTTGAATTTCGTGATTCCACTGTCGAATGTTGAATTTATTCAATGTAATGGGCATCTTCTTCAAATGTTGCAGATGAAAAAGGACATAACCATCAACTGCCACGAAGATAAAGCCTACTAAATAGAATTATTAAGCTGTATTATATTTTTTTTTACTCAGTTACATATACTTTAGTTAATGTTAATAGATATTATTAAATCCTTTAACAAGGGAGATACATAGTATTTTATAATATCTACTAGCACATAGTTTGTAAAGTAAGTGCATTAAAACAGTAGATGCATTTAAAATTTAAATTTAGAAATAAACAATGCTATAATTTGTTCTTGGATTTAATTTCAATTTTTTTAATGATCGAGTAGGCAACCAGTAAAATTAAGAACTAAAGAAATAAATTAAGTTACATGCTGGTTTTGATTTAAGCATAAGTATATACGTATATAATAATGTGACTAAAATAAATATAAACTGTGAAAAGTACAATTGTTCCTGTAATATATTAACAAAAAATAAGACTTACTTTGTTTAGTTTCAAAGTCGTAGTTATAGATATGGCTGAACTGTGTTTGATAAGCCTCAATTTGCCATAAATCTTTGTCTCCCAATGCTTTTTATCTTCCTGCATCGGATTTAATCCTTGGTCAAAGATTAGCTACCTTCTCTGAGATCACTCCTACCTCCTCTTCTGTGAAAGGATGCATGAAGAATGCATGCTCATATGTGCTATTATTAATGTCTAAAACAAAACAAAAAATATATTTAGGACACCCAAAAATCACAATCTTCTACTAAAAATTACTGTTCTGTATGTGAAAAGTATATTTGTTAGAGTTTTAAAGTAATTTTTAATCCTTAACGTAATAATATGCAGTCTTTTGAAGTAGTGTGACTAATACCCTTGTATTTCAGAAATCAAAACAACAAAAGTTTTTACCTACTACGTAAAAAAGGTGTGAGAATATCCAGATCAAAACAAGAAATTCCTTAGATAGGATCTTTTCCTGGTTAATGTATCTAAAAATTTTGCGATTTACCTTTCCTAAAATTAAACAACAATACAACTAAAATACCATATTTCTAAATGTGCAGTTTGGGAAAAATGGGAATAAAAAAACATTATGTAATATACTATGTAAAATGCAATAAACAATGTAATATTTAGAATAAAACATATCCAAACCTTTAGAAAATATGTTTTATGATGATAAAACATAGAAAATAATATAGTAGACATACAAAAGTTAATATCTGAAAAAACTCCAGTCTGCATGACGCATTATAAGTGCAAAAACAAAGACAATGCTAACAAATACAAAGAGAACATGAAGAGAACTTGTAATTTGTATTGAAATCAACAATTACGTAATAATGTTTGATCATTTTTTCGTTAGGAAATTATAAAAGAAATTATTTAAACAGTATTATTACCTGTTATTACGTAAAAACATTGTTAAATTCCAAGAGACGCCGTTGGCGATAACAAAAACTTTGGAGAAGAAAAAATACGTAAAATATCACGAAATAAACGGTACTTACTATTATAGATGATCGAGCAGAGCCTTAAGAAAAGTTTATGAACAAATAATACACAATAAAATCACCTTTTCCAGCAAACATTTCAAAAAATCGTAATCCCTGACGGCAAACGGCAGTAAGACATGTTTAATTTTTCGGTTAAAAAAATCATAAATGGTGCTAAATAAAAATAATAGATGACTCTGATCAAACACTTTTTGGAACCCTAAAAATATAGATTTCTGTTAAATGTCGTTAGAGTTGAACTATTCCACGTTCGATGGCGCCATACTCGAAATAGTAGATTTCTTTATTCTAAATATTCACAGTACAGTCACCTTCCGCTAGATAGCAGGAGAGGCAATTTTACAGAATTCTACACCTATTAATAGCGTAGTTTCATTACGTTGCTGCAGATGACGCCACAGCTAAATTTAGTTACAAGAAACACCACCGCGATAAACTGGTGCTGCGATCATTTAGGCGGGCTTTAAGGAAAATTTGAATGGACACATTTTTCTTTTAGACAGATCATTATTGCAATATAGTCCAGATTCTTATTTAAAATGTCCAAAATAATTTTATAGCATATTCAGTTTATTGAATATTATGTTAGTACATTTATTAATATAATTACAGTTAAAAAATATTTATTTTTTTGAATATTTAGAATGATATTATGAGAAAATCATCTAAATAATATGATCTAAACAGTAAACTATTAGACTTTATGCTGTAAATTATATGACTGAAATATTAATTGTTTAATAAACGGCTATAATTTTAGTAGAGTCTAAAAATTCATTCAAAATCCCCATAATAGGAATTTTAATAAAATCTAATAAGTACCACCCACATTAATGTTTAAATTATTTCCGGTACTATAATACTGAAAACCGTGTGAAGTACTGTATGTATTCAGTAAAGAATTTATACCTAAATATTTTACAAAATATCTACAATAATATGAGGCGTTTGTCAAATATACTTGATTTTAAAAAAATATTTTAGTATAATTTACCTAAAATTATTCTATTCCTCTTCAGTGATGAATTTCATCCTATTGAATGTTGATCTAATTGAATGGTGGATATAATCAATCTAATGGCATCTTGATGAGGGTGCTTGAATTGAAGTGCAGCTGTCCTTGTCCAAAAATCCTTGTTCCAAAGCAGTACAATATCCCATTCATGAATCGAAAACTATACAATCGCATGTTGGCATCAACAGAAATGAAATCAAAGACTTGGAAGTCTTAGAAGAATTACAGTAAATAAGAAATAATACATAAAGAAGAGATTAAGAAATAAAATTAGAAGAAAAACAATAAAGAGAAAGACTGTTTGCCTTGCTTGATAGCATCATATCTCTTAAAGAAAAGTGGAACTTTGTGAAATTGATCTTATGGACAGGAGATCCTAGGATTGTCTGACTGAAAATATTTGCTAGTTCATTTAGCGTTACCCAGGGTGCACCACGTGGAGGCGAACTAGCTTTACACCCCCCAGAATAAAAACAATATGAGAGACAAATAGAGATAAGATAAATTGAAAAAAACTGGTGAAGGGAAGGAAAAATAGATGAACTTGGAAAAGTTTCAGAAAAAAATGTCTATACCTAAAAAAATGTACCTACATAATATAACAAAATTAGTCAGACAATCAACGGAAAAATTTATAGAACTGATGTATGATGACACTCCCATAAGGAAGCAAATATGGAAGACAAATAATAAAATAGATATGATTTAGTTGCAGAAATTGAAAAAAATGGCATGAAAATGAATTCCAAAAAAAAACTATAATTCTAGACGAAATATGTCTTAGAAGAATCTCAGAAGAATGACACAAAAAAGGTATACAAATATATACAAAAAACTTAAGAGAAATACAATCAATAGAAGAATTTATAGAATTAATGAATGACGCATTCCTATAATAAAGAAAATACGGGTGAAAAATAGTGAAAAGGATATGATGAATTGAAAAAATATACAAATATACAGGAGAGTCATTTGAAGAGTATATACAGAATTGATGAATGATATTCCAGTAGTAAAGAAAATATATGGCAGACAAATATAAAGAGGTAGGCCAAAAGCAAGACGAAGCAAAACAATATTAGATGATATTAAAAAATAAAAAAGAACCTGGTATATAACAACACGAAAAGTTATGCTTAGCCTCCTCTAACGAATATCTCGTCAAAATAGGACTCAAGTACATAAAGAAAAATCCTCCAGAGCATCAAGTTCGCTCCCCCCTCAACCGATTTAACCCTTGTCTGACGATTAAGCCTCACCAGTCAGTTCCCATCCCAGCTAAGCAGCCTCGTCTCGGGTCGCCCTCGTCACCCATCGAGCGGACATCCACCGGGACCCCCTACAGGCGGACCCCCCTCATCATCTTCAATGTGTCCGATATCCCGCCCCCTGCCTCTTCGAGGGTCACGGAATACGTGCACGAAGAAGTCTCGGAGCTTGGGTGCCAGGTCGTATCCGGCCGAAGCCTCTAGCGTTAGAACACCTAGCTCGTAAACCAGAGGGTGGTGACTCCCTTGGGTACCTATGCATGCTACATAGGTCATCGATGCCCGAACATCAGGGTTAGGGAGCGACCCGGGTCTCCTCTTTTGCGGGGAGGCTAGCTGTGATGCTCTGGAGTCGATGTTACTCAGAAAATTGATTGAAAAAAATTACAGAAAAGCAAGAAGTGATATCCTGGGAACGAGGGAGATTTTCGAATAAATGGCGAATGCGCCAGGAATTGACGGGAAATTATTCCTTATTTTGAGATTTTTAAGTGTGTTATCGTAACAAACCAACAGAATCCGTAAAATTATAGCAATTCATGACATATGATCTGAGAAAAAGGACATGAAAATGAATCTATCAAAACTAAACTTCTGCGCAAGAAATTATCCAACCAAAAAAATATTAGGGCACTATAAGAAAATACAAATAAAAGAAGACTTATAGAAATCAAAGTCAGTGGGATATTTTATAGAATCGACGAATGATGTTATTCCCACAATGAAGTAAATATGGGAAACAAACTATTATACCGAAATGCAAGTTATACCATAAACAACATGAATTAAAATCCTAAGTAGATGGTATATTTACCAAACAAATAAAACCTATAGAAATACAGTCAGTGGGATATTTTATAGATATAATAAATGGTGATATTATTCCTATAATCAAGAAAATATGGGAGTCAAGCTATTATAGAGAAATAAAAGTCAACCAAAAATAACAAGTAAAGTTGTAAGTAGATAGTATTTTAGCAAAAAGAAAAAGAAGTTGCCGAAGTCAAAAATTGGCGCAAATTAAAAATGCAAATCAGAGGCCCATGGGAATTTTTTTTATGCTTAATTAAATATAAAAATTATGAAATCAACTGCTGAATGAATATCAAAAAGCAGTAAAAATATATTTAACCAAAAGAAATCAAATTTTAGATGTGTAGGTACTTATCTTTGTCCCAATTTGCATTGTATTAGTAACCTTCATCGAAAGGATAAATGTACTGCCCTGGAACAGTATACATCCATCGATTTGTTGTACAATATCTGTAAAAAATAAATAATGTTACATTTGATTATGCTACAGTCCTTGGTTTTTTTTCATTAACATTAAATATGACTTAAAAACTATGATTAGTTTGTTAATAAACCTTTAATAATTTCTAAAATTATTTTTCAATAATTATTTAAACTTACTATTAATTAGATAATGGAAAAACAATCTTTTAAACCAGGATATGATAGCCAAACATCAGAATTATATAAGGCTATACTTCTAGATCTCTTCTTTGAGTGGTCTTCTTTGTATGTGCTTGTGTGTATTATTAATATTAATTACTCCTAAAACAGAGATTTATAATTAAAACATTATAAACAAATAGTTAAAAACAATGCAAAATTGGTAGCTAAAATATGATGAAGAAGTTTCTGTGAAAATACTATGCCATTGCTGATGTAATTGTTGGGAATGGGAGATCCATTCCCAACAATTACATTAATTATAATTGAATTAACACTGGCTCATTCTAAAAGACGTAGAAAATACTTGTTTGCCTATAGAAATAAACACCTAAAAAATATATATTCAGGAATACAAAACATCTCTAAAAATGACCCAAAAAAAGTGGAACAAAAAATACCAAATATTTCTAAATATAAAGCAAAATTCTATGTAACTATAGTTTTAATATACATTAGAGACATCAAGGAATGTATCTATATTTCCATATACTCAATTTAGAAAAAGTAAGTTATGAAAATAGGAAAACATTAGCTTTTAACGGTGATGTAATCGAAACATTTGAAAGTGAAAAAAAATCATAGAATACAGGCCAAATAATGGGTACTTACATTTACAGGAGAATAAGCAGGCCTTAGGGAACAGAATACACTCAAATAGTGTACAGAAAAACCACCTTTTCTATGAAAAATCGGAAAAATCTAAGATCGACATAACAACTTGCTGCTAACAACGGAAAATGGCGCACTGTTGTCATGTGTCATGTAAAACAGAAAGATTATTTTTTGTTGGATAAATAATACTGTCTCTAAAATAAATTATGTTATTTATTCTACTGAAACAAAATTTGTATTATATCTTTATTAAATTTATCATTATTTTCTAAAGGTTTAATTCATCATAGACTTACAAAAATATTGATTTAGATTAAGTTTCAAGATTTCGCTAATACCTTGGTAACCTTGGAAACACTTTAGTTCAAAATTTTCTCACCTTTTCCAAAATGGCGCCATCGGCGTTCTTCTTCTTTTTCGTATTTCAGGTCTTAAAAGACCGTAACCACAGAATAAAAGCAAGGTTCTTCTTCTTTTCTTTTAAATGGCTTGAACTCATATAGGCCATACGGCCAGTGTCAAAAAATTTTTAAGAAATAAAAATGAATTTTAAGGGAAAAATACATTTCGATGATAAATAATTAAACAAATCTAGTAAAGAAGAAAATAGATTAATAAAATACATTTTAACCACTACAATTGCATGAAATAAAACTCCATTTTTTTAGAACACTACAAAAATTTATTATGCGGTGTTTTGTGCTAAACGTATACAATATATTGTTGAGTAAGCCACTTTCTTTATACAGAAAAAAAGATGGCCTGTACACCTAAGAACTAACGAAATGAGTTGAAAAATCGTAAAAAAACTAACATCAAACGAAAGAACTAATAGAAAAACGACGCGAAATACTTTAAAAAACTAAAAACTAAGACAAAGAAACAACGAAATGTGTACGAATAGTTTTTGGAAGCTCTTAAAAACCTAAAGAGTATTATTATTTTGTCAATATATGTTTTAATTCTAAAAAAATACTGAAAACGCTTCCAAAATGTTTTGACGAAAGTAAAAAAAAAACTGTTTATCACAAATTAAAAAATTAGAAAAGCTACATACAGTTCAGTTCAAATCACACTTACTTTCGACAAGAGTATTATTCTTAATAATCGTTATTATTGTTTAGGAATGTTAAATATCCAGATAAAAACACAAATTCAAATTGTCGGTACGAGTTAAAAAAATAGAGAACCTTTTTTTTTCGGAAAATTGTGGGGATAATTGGCACATAGAGAAGTTTTAGGAACAACGAATTTAAACAAGTTATTAATCCCCCTGTATGGGAGAATTAAAAAACTAATAAATATTAAAATAAATTAGAAAAAAAATAAGAAGACATCTAAAATTGAGACATAAAAAAACTTTATTAAATATTGTTTAATAAAAGAAAAAGATCTTATCAACAAAAAAAGTTGTTAGATACAGTTAAATAATTTTAAATAAATGTATTAAGATTTTTTAACTTCTAACACACAATTTTCAGTCTTTTAAGTTGTTCATTACACTGTTATAATATTTTTCTATGTCTCAAATTTAAATGTCTTCCACTGGAAAAAATAATGGAACATCCTAACCTCAGAAATCCAGGGACAATTGATAAAAATCCAACAGATCTCCCCTGCCGATATTATATAAGATACCACAACATACGAACATAAATAAATCCTGTTTTTTATTTTCGTGTTGGGGAAAAATTGAAAAAATATATATTTATATTGGATAGACCTAAACTTCCACGCTCACTGGCGGACTCTCTGTAGAAGCCTCGGTGCTTTCCACTTTTTTCACTACGATTTCTTCCGTTTTTTCCACGGCACTGTCCGCCTCTTTGCCGTTCGTGTCCTTGCTGTCACCGTTTACCTTTTTTTCGGGCTGTAAAAGAAGAAATAAACTGTTACAGACATTGAATAAAACCATTGATTGAAGAAATAAGAAGATGCGCAAACTTATGAGCGATTTCTTGGCTAAAAACCTGTCCGAGATGTAGTTGGCGTTACCGCCATGCCAGCCTGTCCGAGAATCCCGAGATTTAGTTTAGCTCTGCGCCGCTGGGCGTTTACAGCGCTGGGGATAAAGAATACTGTACCGTAGTTCTGCTTTTAGTCGACAGAGTGGGTGGTTGCCGGAGACAGTGTTGCCAGAACTACTAATTAATCCGTAGATTTACGGATTTTGGGTACAGTACGTTAATAATACGGATTTTCTATCATTAAACAATTTAATATATTTATTTATTTATTATATATATTATTTCTTGGATACCCTGTATAATTCGACCACTGAAAATGCCCGACAAATTCCGCAAGGCAGACGAGGCCAATTTTTCTTACTGATAAGAAAGCAAACGTTTGTTTAGATTTTTTGAGATATTTTTTCTCTCTGAATGCACATTTTAAAGTATTTTATATTCTTTGTCCGAATGATACTGGTCGCAAGTATCGAAGTTTTATTTCTTCTAGTTTTAAAAAATTTCTTATTTCTTTGTAGTTGTAGTGTAAAATTAGATTAATTTTTATTAAGTTTAATTATATGTTTAGTATGAAATACCAGAAGTAGTTTAGTAGTGTTTTTATAGTTTATTTTGTAGTTAAGTAGTAGCTGAAGGGGTAATTTGGTTATTTTTTATTTTTGTTTGATTAAATAGTAAGTTTGATAATTTGTTCAGTGTAAAAGACAAGAAGTAGTTGTGTAGTGTTTTTATAAGAGATTATATTCGTTTATTTTGTAGTTGAGTAGTAGGGGAAGGTATTTAGGTATTTTTTTCTTTTTGTTTTTCTTCTAATTGTAGTAGTTCTATTAAGCAGTGTGATAGGTACACTATATCTTCCTTCAACTTTGTTTAAAAGTGCTTTATCATATAATTTTGGTTAGTCTAGTCTTATTAATAAAATTAAACTAGTCAAATAATAATAATGTAGCAATATAAAAAAAAACATGTATATAAATATGTAGCAGAAAAATATTTGAGAGTCTCTGTGTGTCTGGAAACGTTCTATCTATTTTTAATCGTTCTATAATAATATTAGTGTCAATTTTTAATAAACGACCTCTAGAGATTGACCTTACCAAAATTATTATGCATTGTCATTCCCGAACCGTCTTTAACGTTTTTTTTTTCTATCATACAATATAAGGCAACAATGAAAATACTTACAGAAGCTTCCCCGTTAGTCGTAACCTCACTTTCTGCCGTACCATTCTCTAACCCATTCGCAAGATCTTTCTTGTTCTCCTTCTCTTCCGAATCCACCTTAGATTCTTCTTCTTTGGGTGCTTCATCAGGTTCGGACGAAGAAACGTTGTTCTCTGTCTTAGAAACCTCATCAACTTTATCTTCGGACTTTTCTTCAACGTTTTTACTGCTTTCCGCAGCGGAATCGGGCTGTTCTTCGCCGTTTTCAACTGGTTTTTCCTTGGGTTCTTCTGTTTTCTCGTTTTTTTCGGGAACTGCATCGTTGGACTCTGATTTTTCCTCAGTTACTGGTTGGGCTTCTTTATTTTCTTCGGTTTCTTCCTTTGCGGTTTCCTCCTTTTTGGGTTCTTCAGTCGTTTCGGGTTTGGGCTCTTCGGTCGTGCTGTCAACTGTCTCTTTCTCTTCATCTACTGGCTTTTCTATAAGAAAAGAAGTATGTACTATAAAATTAGGATTAAGTTTTAACAAAAAATAACAAATCTACGTTCAGGGTAAGTCAATATTGTTTTATTTTTGTAATTTTAACTGTTTTTACATGTAAATATTATTAATTCTGACAGATGGAACAAGTAGAAGATTCATTATGAAAAAGACCAAGTTAATGGTCGAAACGTCATAAAATAAAAAACAAATTATCAATAAATAGTAATTAATGTATTAAATTTTTAAAATATTTATTTTAATTTTGACCTCAAACCAAGAATTAAATTTACTTAAAATTATTTTTTACTCTAAATTGGGAGAAATATTCTCAGACTTGACATCACTGCGCAGCACAGCGATCGACACCAACGAAACAGTCTCCTGTTAAAAAACAACTCAGCATATTGAAGCTAAGAAACAACGGCAAATGCAGATTCTGTGGGGAAAATGGGGAAACACCATAACACATCACCACTAAGTGTGCCGAAACGACAACCCTTTGAAAAAGTCTAGTTTGGAATGTTGAAAAAGAATAAATTAAAAAAATATTTTTTTACGCCTACAAAATAGTTTTTTACAAGTAAAAATTTGTTTTTTGCGTGAAAGAAATAATTTTTGGCTTGTAATAAACAGTTTTATGCGTGTCACAAATAGTTCTATAGGCGTAAAAAATTGTTTTATATGCGAAAAATAAAAAAATTAATAAAAATAATTTTTACGTGTAACAAATAATTTTTTACAAGTAATAATTTGATTCGCTTTCACAAAATTTATATTAAAATATCATTATTTTTTATAAACACGTGGACTGCTCACAAATACACGTCGCGTCACTACATACTCTAAGCCGCTACCACTTTGCGTCTCGCTAGCTTGTGTGTCACGGCCTTGAATTTTTATTTCCAGCGCGCGCAAAGAAGGTTGGGGTGCCTCAATTATATGCACGCCACTGTCAGATTGTAAAAAATATTCGAGTATTAATTAATAATGAAAATAGGGTCACAAAAATGCATAAAAGACACATAAAATCTAGAGTTCTATGAAAAAAAAAGAGACAGTAACCAACCTGTGGTTTCTGGAGTTGCTTTTTCTTCGACTTTTTCCTCTTCTTTAGATTTTTCTTCGATTTTTTCTGGCTCTTCAGCTGGGGTTTTTTGGTCTTTTTCTTCAGTCTGCGCGGGTTGTTCTGGGTTTTCCGCTTCAGTCTTTGTTTCTGCCTCGCCGTTGGTCATTTCCACGTCGGTAGAGGTTTCGGTGGGTTTAGAGTCGGCTTCATCAGTCTTTTCTACGGTTGCGTCAGTCTTCTCTGCTTCTTCTGTAAAAAATTAATTAATATGACGTATGTTGGCAAGGAAACACCCACTATATGTCCCAATATTCCGTAAAGATAGTAACAAAATAAGTTACTTCACAATTTACCTCATATACACATAATATGTAACTTTTCTTATTATCTAACTTCGTTTTACTCTACATCCTTTAATTTTTGTTAAATTAAGGTTAGGTCTGTCACAACTACCTAAATTGTATCAAATAATAAATATCTACTGACATTAAATCATAAAAATAAAAATATTTAGGAAAATCTTTATCAGAGAGATAGGCAATTTTAATATTTTGAAGAGACATAAATTTTCTATTGAATATCGAAATAATACACTGGGTGTTCCCCCAAAAGAGTAACTTGCTAATTTTATTTACCTGTTTTTGTATCTTCTTTAACACCATCAACTTCCATAGCTTCATCCTGTACCTTAGCTTCTTCTTTAGTCTCATCTTTTTTTACTTCTTCTTTTTCTGCTTCAATAACGTTTGTTTCGTCTTCTTTATCAGTCTTAGCTAATTTCTTAGGCCTTTCCTAAACATTCCCATAAATTTTATTAACAAAAACAATCTAAAAAACATTTTTTAGAAGGTTTTTAGAGAAAAAAAAAACACTTTTTTCGTTTCAACAAAAAAATATATATTTACACGTAATTTACAAAATTAAAACGAATCATTCTGTTTTGTACCTTGAATAGAGCGAATGGCATGCAATTATTATGTCACTAACCTACACAGTACGTCAAGTCATGTCATAACTACCACCGATATCAGTCTACCTACTACAAAAGAAAAAAAAAGAGAAAAAAATAAAGATTATTTTCAACTACAGTTAACAAAAAAAATATGCAGGAGAAAAAATTAAACTAAAAATAGATCACTAAGGAAAACAATAACAAAACTTTAGATCATATTATAATTTACGTGGATAAGTAAATTTGTTTCATTCTTGTTGAGAACATATCAAAGACATTCGACTATCTATCGTCTCTGTCTTTGACACTGACTTAATCGATTTTCTGTCTTTCTTTTGTGTATTTGTCATTTTTTAGAAATTGTACAATTAATTAAAAATATCCAAAAATTTCTACCGAATTCTTACCAAGTCATCTACCGAAAATACAGGGTGTCCCAGAAATAAGTGCAAATATTTTAACCGGTAGTATATTTCAGCCTCAGAAATACTTGAGCCTATACTTGCCTATGAGTTTTTTTTGCGAAAAAAAATTGTTGAAAATGTTTTCTTGACATTTTCCGGGAAATTTAAAAAAACCTACTTGTTTATTCACCTGAGGCGTTGAATAACCTCAAAAACCTCATGAAAAACTCTTAAACAACTCAATTAATTTTTTTCAATTTATTGTTATAAATTATTTTCAATTTATTTTAAAAATTGTGAAAAGATGTTACTTTTGACCCCCCTAAAATATCTGCAGTTATTTTCTGGGACACCCTGTATAATTTTGGTAGAGGTGGCAACACTGGTGAGAACAGTGCATGACGTACTCACAGAGACAAAGTTTTGTGTAACTTATGGTATAGCTTTATCCACGAAGTAGATTATAGGAACTAAAATCTAAACATCAACGAAAAAACTTCCGTCAATAAATGTATAACCAAAAAAATTTTAAAACAACTTTTTATACCAATAAACTTCTGAGTTAAATTCTATATTATTGTTTAGTTATTGTCTTCCTGTGACATATACAGGGCGTGCCAAAAAGTTAAAATAAAATCAACTTCGAAACTACTTTTCATCTAACCCCACATTATGCGTATGTATAGAAGATTTGTATAATTTGTCGCAATGACAGTTGCCGCATGACATATAAATACGTCAAAATTATGGCATAATCAAACTTTATGGCACACCATGTACACAAAAAAATAACTACATTCTACAGAGTCAACGAGGAAAAGAGGAAAGGATGAAACAAAAAAAAACAGCACTACCACTAGCTACAATACAAAACACCTTAAATGAAGAGACTACAAAGAGGGAAAAAAATCTATTTTTACTTAAAACTATCTACGATTTTACTCGTTTTCTACCTCTGGCGTTGGTAACACAAACCTCTGCGGGCTGTTCCTCTGTGTTCTTGCGCTTGGCCGGATTCTCCAAAAGGATTTCCTTGAAACTGGATACCACTGTGAAAGAACTGGATTCTTCAGGGAGTTCGGCGTTGCCTTCTCTGGACACCAGGCTAACGGAAAAGCCTGCTTTTTTGGCGGCTTTGCCCTCTGAAAGAGGAATTTTAGGGTCAAGTGGTGTACAGAGTCCGGCAATAGTGCGTAGGGCATCTGTAATAAACTTGGGAATTTTGTTTAAGTGCAAACCTAAAGTATGTACGAGGATGTATTTCAGGAAAATATTTTAACTTCTACAGGGTAACTCAAAAAAGTGTGAGTGGATCGGGATGATTTTTTTAAATAGAACAGTGAACAACATAACCCTGTATAGTATTGCATTTTTAGCTTCCTTTCGGATCATTTTACATAATCCTAAGATGAGTAAATATATTTCAGTAGTTTCAAAGATATTAATAAATAAATAAATTAAATATATTTTTCAGGCTTTCTTAAAAAAGTTATTAAAAATACAAAAACTGACCTGATATAAAAACTATATTAGGTATTTACTCTAAATGGTCTGCACTTACTTTGCTATAAATATCGTAATCTTAAATCATACAGGGTGTTCAAAATTCTACGACAAACTTTCTAAAATATAAAATAATTTTTCTTTGTCTTTTTAAATGGAACACCCTGTAGATTCTTTTTTTTTATTAGATGAAGAATTAAAAAATGATTTTTTTTTGTATTTACAGTATTTCAAAATTTTTAACGGTTTCGCAGATACTCGGGGTATTATTTCATATGGCTCTTTCAACGGTAAAATACGAGAGAAATATCATTGGGTGGCTTTGATAAAAATTTACTATGGAAAATGTCATATGAAATATTATAAAACCGCGAATATATGCAAAATCGTTAAAAATTTGGAAATGCATTAAATGCAAAAATTATTCATTTTTTAATTCTCCATCAATTAAAAAAATAATATAGGGGTGTTCCATTTAAAAAACGACGAAAAATTGTTTAATCTTTTAGAAAATTTGGCGTAGAATTTTGAACATCCTGTATGATTTACGATTACCATATTTATAGCAAAGTAAGTACAGAGTATCTAAAGTAAATACCTAATATAGTTTTGATTTCAGAACAGTTCTTGTATTTTTAATATTTTTTTTTAAGAAAGACTGAAAAATATATTTTTTTATTTATTTAACAATATCTCTGAAACTTTCGAAATATATTTACTCATATCTTAGAATTATGTAAAGTGATCTGAAAGGCAGCCAAAAATGCAATAATATACAGGGTGTTCCATTTAAAAAGTCATCCCCGATTCACTAACACTTTTTTGAGCCACCCTATAGAAGTTAAAGTATTTTCCTGAAATACATCCTAGTACATACTTTAGGCATGCACTTAAACAAAATTCTCAAGTTTTTTATTCTAGGAGCTACAGATGCCCTATTGCCGTACCCTGTATAAAAAACTAATTTTCTACATCTGGACATGTAGAAACTGTAGACAATAAATTGACATAGTTTGCTAAAATTTTTGATAGCTCCGTACAAAGTACAAATCATCAAAAACACATTTTTAGTAAATATTAAAGCTTGTCAGAATCTTCTACCAACTGATAACAATAACAAAAACTTAAAAATTTACTAAAAAATAACCCCAGCCACAAATATCTAAGCTTACCTTCAATATTATCTGTCAAAAACAGGAGTTCTTCCGGTTTGCTTGACAGCTCTTCGGCGATCTTCTTGTAGCTGTCGGTCTCGGTCTTGGGGCCCACCGATTGGTCGAAATAGTTTGATATGTGCGAGCTTAGGTCGCCCTCTACCGAGCGCGCGAACAGCTGCTTCTGCGACTCGACCGAGCCGGTGGAATATATGGCAACCTTGCGCGTTTTCGCCCACTGTTCGAAGGCAACGGCAACGTCGGAGAACACACTGAAAAGATGTACAAAACGCGATATGTTAGTCAAATTGTAAGACAGCGCACCCTAACGTCTACTGTCAAATACATATTATTATTGTTTATATGGTATAATATACAGGGTGGTCCGAACTGTATTCCGGAAACTTCGGCAGCATATTTTGCAGATAAAAGTAAGTAAAAAATGCTTAGTTTCGGAGATACAGGGTGTAGAAGTTTATTTTTATTTCCATTTTTTCCAAATAATTTCTGAAGTAACGTCAATATTTGGACTCTAAGAGTTTTTTGACATTAGAAATTTGATTTTGATGTCTATATGATTCCTACTTGTAGAGGGCGCCACCTACATGTGTTTTAACTGTTTTGAAGAGTAATAACTTTTCGTCCATACCTGTATAAAACTACTGACTCAAAAAATATACATTTACAACGTTTTTTATGTAAAAAAGATGTCTTGGTAAAAATCGCTAAGAATAATGGTTCTCAAGATATAACTATCTATTCAACATGTTTATTTTTTGTCAATAATGACACGTATTGACTATTTACATTCTAAATATCTTGAGAACGGTTGCTTGTAGCGATTTTTCAAGCAAAAAAAAATTTTTACGCAAAAAATCACGGAAATACATATTATTTAGGTGTCGCCCCCTATAGATATGAGAGAGATAGAAGTCAAATTGACATCAAAATCAAATTTATCATGTCAAAAAACTCCCAGGCACCAATTTTCATCTAAATATTGACGTTGCTTCAGAAATTATTAAATTTGAAAAAAATCGAAATAAAAATGAAACTTCTACACCCTGTATCTCCGAAACTAAGCATTTTAGGACATACATTTACACAAACTTTTTTATCTATTTTTTATCTGCAGAATATGCTGCCGAAGTTTCCGGAATACAGTTCGGACCACCCTGTATAATTACTTTTAAATCTTTTTATATTATTTGCAACGTTTGAAATTGTTAAAAAAATTATTTGTGACGTTTTAAAAAAAAATAGCATGTTCTATTTGGAGCAAAATTTTGTGCCTGGACTGTAATGTAGTCAATCATACAGCCTTGCCACAAAAAGTATAATTTTTACTCCTAATAAAACAATATACTATTTTCCACAGGCTATTCAGTGTTAGTATTACTTTCCGAGATAGAGTCCTGGGTCCTGGGACACCCTGTATAATGATGTATCCACATTTCACGCAAATATCAAATTTGATAAACACACGCGAGACAAGTATCGCATCCTGTAGTAGTTAATAATATAATCCATAATCAAGAGATCCTTACTAGAAAAAATTATCAGAATATTACCAAAAATTTCCGTAGCATAGAGCTTGTAAAATACTAAAAAAACAAGCAAATCTGAAGTAAAGAAATATATAAATCAGCATGTATTATCAGCTTGAACAAATATGTTCTAAAATAGTGCTGAGTAATTAAATAAACATATTTTATAATCCTTTACAGAATATTATGAGACCATGAGAAAAAAATACAAATTTAAAAAATCTTGATTAGAATTTTACAACACCTACAGCATGTCCCCGGCTTGTCTTTACAAGGAGGATTTTTTGAGAAAAATACATTCATTATAAACATTTTTTGCTTGTTCTAAAATGGTTGATCTTTATATTTTTCCAAAGTTTTAGAGAAAATTAAATAAAAAACATGAAAATATAGCCGATTTTTTCCCCTATCTGAATCTCTAAAACAGTATGGAAAAGTATAAACAGGAAATTAACCATTTTATAACAAGCAAATTTTTTATGAAGATGCCTTTTTCTCAAACTGTCAATAATAAAAAAGTTTTTCCTCCTGTAACGACAATCCGGGGACATACTGTATATTATAACCCACAAAAACAAGTTCTCTCAATTTTATAAACTATAATCACAGCAATATAATTTAATCTAAAAACCTTGTATATATCACATAAAATAAAAGTGTCCTACAGAAATATACAGGGTGGTTCAAAGTCCCGAAAAATCTCTATGTCGGGCTGAACAAAAAACATACCAAGTTTCATATAAAAAAACTACAAGTTTAAGTGAGTAAAAATGAAATTATTTTAACCATCCTGTATATTTTACTAGCACAGCCTGGCTACTTTATAAAAAAAACTGGAGTGAAATCCGAATGATATAAAGATACTCTGAAGACTGGGACACCCTGTAAATGTATGAAGTAACCGCATTTAGACAAATAAACAAGTTTATCTTATATTAAATAATAAGAGTCAATAAATTGGTTACTATGCCATGGAAATGTCGATATAATATTAAGAAATTAGATGATTTTTAAATTCAGTTCTATAAAAACAAGTGTTTTATTAATTTAAACATTAATAAAACAAAAAATATATATTTTTATAACTTAGGTTAACTTACTGAGCTTTAAGTTCGCCATTTTCGTATCCTTTGCTGTAAACCAATCCCTGGATAGTCTTCAACCCAGGGTTTTCACTGCCACTGTCCGTCAGTTCTTTGACAAGTTTGACAGCTCCTTCCAGGTTCAGTTCTTCTTCTCCCTCCTTCAACTGTTTCACGGCCTTCTTGACAGACTCGTCGTCCCATTTTTCTTTCAAGATTTCCTCCACGTTTTTGTTGACAAAGGGAAATAGGGTCTCCTAGTGAATTTAGAAAAGAAATCAACAACTGTTATACTGTATAATCGAAAAAAAGGCGTCAGAGACGGCTGGGGAATTGGGGAATGATGATCGATGATAATTTTAGTGAGGTCAATCTCTAGACCTCGTTTAACAAAAATCGACGCACAAATTTATTTCCAAAAAATTATTTTTTCTCTCGTTTTAAACTACACACCATTTAAAAATCATTTTTACTCAATATAAAAATAAATTACTTATTAATTCTTAAGGCAATCTGGCAGTAGGCGTCATTAAAAAATACAGAAGAGCACGGGTCAAAAAATGACGTTTATAGGGCTTGACCTCGCCAAAATTATCATCGATTTTCATTCCTCAGCCATCTCTGACGCCGTTTTTTTTTCGCAAAATTAAAAAATTAACATTAAAAATCAAGACGTATTAGAAAAAGATAAAGAAACTTAATTTTTCTATTTTTGTTTATAGAAAAGGCAGATAAGTTACCATTTTTAACATGCTGTTTTCACATTACTGTGTTACTTTTTTATGAAACTAAAGATGCTACACAAGACAGGACAAGTTGTTAGTTCTTAAAATACAGGGCGAATTGGTAGGTAATTATTGTCGACTTCCCTGGTATCTCAGTTATCTCATAACGTCTCGAAAAGATATGAAAACTGTGTCCTGTAGAGTTTTTCACGTAGAATCCAGTGACGTAACTAGTTTTTCGCTGAGAGCTGTCATTTTCGAAATATAACCCAAACTTATGTTAATTTTTTAAATGGGATATCCTGTATATATATTTTTTTATTGTACTGTATGAAGAAAAATGAAAAACGGCAGTTAGTTCAGTTGGCTTGGAATCCCAATCAACCATCAATATCTACTAGTTGTTCACGCTATTATAATATCAAAATTGTATTTTTTAAATGTAACACCCTGTATATTATAACATTTTTAGTTAATACGATTAAAATAAAAGTAAATATGATTAAGGTTTACCGCACTTTAATCTTACCGTTTTTGAAATATTTAAGTACGATTTTGTGAAAATGCAATAACAATTTTCAAACTTCATTTCTCTAGACGTATTTAAGTTTTTAAAACCAAATATTGTACAGAAGTTTTTCTATTTGCTAAATTTTGTGTTGCAATAATAAAAATAATACTACCTTATACAGAGTGTCTTCATTTTTTTTAAATAATTACTAGCTTTAAACGGTAATAACTTGTTTAATTTAAACGGAATACCCTGTATATTTTATGAAAATCAGATGCACAATTTAATTGTCTCTCCATGTCATGTGTGGTGAATAACCCTGTATAGGTACTCTATACTTTTTCATAAATAAGGCAATAAAATAAGACATTATCTACATTTTTAATATAAATCAACCTAATTTAAAAGAGTACATATTATTTTATTTATATAAAATATAGCCAGAAAAAATTGCTTTCCATCTTGTTTTCTTAATAAACTGCACGGAAAATGAACTTGTGCAGTTTTTAGTTAACAGGCTGTCAATCAGTAGCGTTTCATAAAAAAGTAGCATACCTAGTAATGTGAAAACCGCATCTTTGTATCTCTACTCATAAACGAGAAACCCTTGTAAAACACACGAAATTGGGACACCCTGTACAACCAATACACTTAACTAAAAATAAACCTAATTTAGGTAGAGTGAAATTTTATTTGTTTTTTGATATACATAATAAAGCATTCGTTAAATCTCGAAATTTTTATTTTCAGTTCATTATAACTTATCAGAAACTAAGTCATTTAGTCTTTTAAATAATGTCAAACCTAGAAAGAACAATTTTGTTTTAAAAAATAATGAACAATTTAAATATTACTACTTGATTCATAGTTGCAGAACTTTAAAGAATGAAGAATATCAAAAACATAGTAGATTCCGTCAAAATTTGAATTTCAGAATAGAAAAATGACAAAAATTTGATTTAAAGTTCAATTTTCCTATACCAAAAAAGGTGAACTCTACCCTAAGATTTCTTTCTTATAAAACCTCTAAGAACTACAATAGTCTCTTAAAACATTCAAATCAGAATTTTAGGGTAATTTAAAACATGGACATTTAAATTAAATTACAGAAGACAATACGATGTCTTAGATTTGTTCAAGCAGATGAAAAACATGCATTTAAAGTAAAATGACCAAGTTTCCTTCAAATCTACGTGCAAAAGGACCGGTATCTGTCAATTTACCCCGAAAAACGTGTCTTTTTTTGAACAATAAAGGGCCTACACAAAAGATAGGGTCCTTTTTGAACGCCCGATGGAACTTTTTTTACCTGCTCCAGAACCGATCGATTTTAACTGAAGACCACGTGCAAAATACTAGAAAAATTATTAATTTAAATAATTATTTTATTGCAAAACCTCCTGCAGCGGCCATCTTTCCAAATAAGCCGGGTAGTAACAAAAACAAAAATATGAAAATCCGAGATGTATCGTGTGCCAACTCCGTACACCATACGTTCCGCGATTAAAAATAACTTAAAACCGTCGGAAAATTGTGCCGGCCGGCGGAAAAACCCCAGTTTTAGTCACGAAAATCTCTTTAATTCACTTACCTTTGCGAAATTGATGGAAGTGGTTGTGCCCAAGATATCCACCACTATGACGTTGCATTTGTCGAAGACTGCAGTTGATTTTTCTTCGGTCATTTTTGTAGTAATTAAGATCGTGAGTGTTTAGAGAGATAAAGGTGACTATTTTCGGCAAGTTTTCTGGCGTAAATGCAGAGATTTCCGAAATTTAACGGAGAAATTAAAAGCAGGTGGTGCGACCCGGCTGAAACGAAGGATTTTTGCAAAGTGGCGCAAGCGCTCGATCGAAATCTCGGCGAGGACTGGCGGAAACGGCCGATCGCGGGAAATTTGCCGCGAATAATCAAAGCGCCGTTGTCGCTGTGAATTTTTTTTATTTTTCCCTCAGATGATAAATTTTATTTAAAATATACAAAGCCTTCATCTATGCTATGCTAAAAGTAAGGGACCTATTCTTGGACTTATTCCAGTAAAAAACTTTATATGAATATACATTTGATACCAAATTAAACTTCTAGTTACGTAATCGAGAGCGCGATCTTTAAATTCATTGTTGCCAACCATGGCAACATATTCGTGGCTGGGCTGACTAACTGGAATTTAAATTCCGCTGGGATTCACGTGGTAGCTCTGCTATAAAAAATGTCAAATTGCCACATTTATTTATTTATTTCCTGACATTGTCATTCGTTTTGACACTTTAGTTTTGTATTACGAGTTTTTGGTTTATAAATAAATTAATTGTGTTGTGATACTTTAAAAAATTCAACTAGCAGCCCTTGCAGTCGAACATTTTTATTTTTAGTACCTCTTTTAGTGCGAATTGTACAAGATAGCTTAATAGCCGTAAAAACTCATCGCAACTTTATTAGAATAGTTTGAACAGGAAAGCGGTAGTAATGGCTCTGTATATCCCTTAGTGCTGTTATGCAGATGAGTTTTGTTGATATAAACAATAACTGTTCATATATTTATAACTGCTTTATTTTTGTTTTCTAAAATATTTTGATTAAAAGAAAATATGTAAAAATGGGAAATCCTGTGCCGGTCAAGCTAAATCACGTGAATAAAAGTTAATTTTGTATGATCTATACGTTAGCATTAAGGCATAGAGAAAGGTAATAAAAAGAACATTTTTATTACCTTTCTCTATGCATTAAGGGAATTAAGCAATAAGCAATAAGTTTATTTGTTTTTTTTTATAATAAACTTCAGGAAACTTAATAAATAATCTGGCAACAGTGTCAGGGAAAAGGCGCCAATGTTTATTTCTCTATTTTTTGTAGGCGACGTTGCCGTACTGACAATTTTATATTATTAATTCTACAAATTTCCATATTTAAATTCATACAAATATCAAAACAATTAAATAAGTAAATCTAAAGAACGCAGTATCTAAACATAGAGCATAAGATTAAAAAGAAAAAATAGTTTAACCTTACACGATCTTCATATGATCTTGATATTTGGCAACTAGGCAGAGCTGTTTATGTGTTTTGGAAAGTTTTTCTTGTTTTGTGTATGTTTAACCGGGAAGCTTTGTTGGGAAGTTGGGGAAAACTGGTTTATTTTGTTTTCTACTGCGAAACAAATTTAAATTTCCTAGTAGTTTAGGAAAAGCGTTGTTTTATAAACTGCTTTAGTATAAAAGCACACCATAAGAGTACTACTTTTTTTCGATCATATGGTACTTACTTATTGCGTCATATATTTATTTATTTAGGAATATAAATAATACATTACAACCTTTTATAATAAAGGCTAGACTCCTCAATAATTTGTTAGGTTTCTTTTTTAAGCAACACACACTATAGGCGTAATTAAAACATCTATCAAAAATATAAATATCTCTTCAAGAACCCAAATTAAGGAAAATATGTGCCACGGCACTGTTTGGAGACATGATAACACTTTATCTCGGGTATTATTAGTCCTTGTATGATATAATCTAATCGATTATAATCAAAAAACAACAAACACACTCCTTAAAAAAATCCATATACGGAATACTTCAGGAAACCCCCGAGAGATGTGGCAACGCGCGCAAATTTCCCGCCACTTTCCCCAATCGACGCTAGATGTCGCAACGGCGCCAAGCATTCGCCCGGCCGTTTCCATGGTGACGGCGCTTGAGGCTCTCGCTTCTTATGCTGCGCCGTTGCCAGATCCGCCAGTAATGTTTGCGCCTTTGCCGTCTGTGTAGCAGGAATTGTTCCGCAAAAATCTGCAGCGCTCCGCGAAGGAAACTCAGCGTTTTTCAGCCGCAAAACTGCGGAAATTCCGCGGAAAACTGTGGACCGGGTCGAGGGAAAGCGTAAAAACTAGAAAAATGCGGGTGTCAGTCGGTTTTTTCTGAGAAAACTGTCGTTTTTTCGCGGTAGAGGAAGAATATATCCGCAGTTAACTATGACTGTGACGATAACAAGAAGCTGTAAGATAGATAACGAGGTAATTTAAAGGATTTAATTGTTTTATGGCGTTAATTATTAATAAAGTTCAGGTAGAGCGCGGTGGAAAGTATTTTATTGTGAATTTTTAATTTGAAACTGCTGTACCAGATGTTTTTTTTGTGTGTTCCGTTATAAATAGAGAGTGTATGTTGGGATAGGAATATACATGGACCATCTGGATTGTTTGGCATGAGCTGTTTTCGATTTGTAAAACTCCAGAGATTTATGTACTTTTTTATTTTTTTTTAAATATCTTGTAATATTTCTCTTTTCAATTAGATTAATTTTAACAAACATAATTTACGAAATTGGTAACATATGTATGTGCTTGAAATACCTATAGGTAGGTATGGTATGCGTATGTTTGAAGAAAAAAATAAATTTTTCTTAATTTTTACTCGTGCGAGAAGTGTTTTTTTTTCGTACGCCACTGCATTTTTACTGCAATCATGCAGTGGCGTGAGGAATATTTTTTTTCGAGCTATTTAAGCATTAAAAAAATATCAAGTAAAGATTGTGTGGTTTGCATCTTATAATCTGTCACAAAAACCTTTTGAAATAGCTTGTAATTATTCCTCTTTTGAATTAGATTATTTTGAATTGTATACAGGGTTAGTTCTAAAAAAATCTACAAAATATCAAGAGACAACTTTTAGTCGGCATTAAACGAAAATTTAAAAAAAAATCCTAACAAGAGAAAAGAGTCAGTGACGCTCATGTTTTTTAGAAAAATATTCCAGTGATAACCCATATGCACGTCACTGCTGAATCTGTCGACACTTTTTGAGTATTAAAATATGTCGCACTTATAGTAATTTTTACCCTAAAAATTTTATTCGAATCGATAAAAGCACTTGGAAGAAAATTATAATAAATCGAAAAAAATTAAGACTTAACACCCTGTAGCTACGAAACAAAGCAGAATCGGATCTATGTTGATAAAAAAAAATAAACCATATTTTTACGTGAGGAATCTTCCTACGAGAGGTGGCACATGTAGCCGGTATAGGGCGGGAAAAAAAAGCGTCGCAGAGACCTTTCAAACATTAAAAACAATGAAAACAAAAATTAACAATCCATACAAGTATAATTATTATTATAATAGCATTATAAAAATTTCCAATACGTATTCAGGACACGTTAGACATAGAAACGTTACAGATGGTGGTGTACAATACGTTTATGTATAGATGTATATGTATACCAACGGTTAAAATATATATCTCTATGTACGTCATAGTATTCAAGGAAGGCATCTCTTTAAATAAAGCAGCACATCCTGACGTCATCGTTTTTTGTTTCTAGGTTAAGCTCGAGGTTAACACGTTTTGATCTACGCTCAGAGTAATGAAAAAGATTGAAGATAAAAATAAAGATAAAAAAATATTTAGAAACCCGTGACTCCAATATTGGTCTTGTAAAAAATAAAAACTTAAAAAAAAATTACGCCTAGGCATAAAAGTAAAGCACTTTTACGCCAAAGTACAAAAGTACAAAACTATATTATTAAATAGTATCAAATTCGATGAGTATACACTTTTTAATTTAAACTTATTTTAAACTTAAAATTAACTTCTCACTAAACATACTTGTATCCATTTGGCTATATAAAAGCGGTCAATAAAAGAGTAATTAAAACAATTTTTAAAATAAAAAACGCAAAAAACAAGCGTCGTTACACAATTGAAATAAGATTATGAAATACACTATTGTTTGGAAATAAGTCTTAAGTCCAGAATGAATTTAGTATTATCCATGGAGTTAAAAAGTATTATCCAAGAATTATCTAATGTCAAAGTGTCCTTACTACGGATCGAAATGTTAGTTTAAACTTCTACACCCTGTATCTCCGAAACAAAGCATTTTAGGACATACATTTATACGAACTTTTTTACTTATTTTCATCTGCAGAATATGCTACCGAAGTATAGAAGAAGAATACAATTCGGATCGCCCTGTATATCCCCTAGATTATATTTATAAAAAAAACTTTATTTTTTTTCTATTTATGATTTATTTTCTTGAAATTTCATCACACTATTGGTTTAGGACAGCATTCTGGATATGGTTTGGTCAAGTCTGGTACTGTGGCTCCTTTGGGACCCCTAGTTACTCCACATCTGTAAATTAATGAATATAAATACCAAACGATCCAAAAAAACCGGCGTCAAACACGGCTGCGAAATGTCAAACGACAATAATTTTAGCGTGGTCAAGCCCTAGAAGGTCACTTCAAAAAGGTCCTATGGGTATTTCGCCACTGTAAGATAATCTACAAAATAAAATAGTTATTTTTTGTAAACACTGCTGCGTTAGTCCAACCAGTGGCGTAACAACAGATTCACGGGCCTGTGTGCAAAAATTTTACCGGGCCCCCTATTGCTCCTACATATTTCAATACTTATATACTAATCTGAATAATATGCACTCATATTTTAGGTTAGAAATAACATTATCAAATTAATTTTTATATAGTATTATTTATTACTGCAACACAGAATATGTAACCCAAAACATATAAAATATCAAATAAATAAAAAAATAAATAAAAACAAAACAAAAAACAACAACAAAACGCTAAATTAAAATAAACAATGTAAATAGGAACATGAACATCTTAGAATTCTTTATTCCTTGCTTTAGCATGGGCGAAAGTTGACACAATATTACCAATGTTTATTGTACGGGTAACTTCATTTTCTATTGAAATAATTGCCAAAGCTGATTACCGTTTTTCGCCCATAGTATTTCTTAAATTATTTTTGACAAGCTTTAATTTGGAAAAAGATCTTTCAGCCGAGGCAACAGAGAGTAACAGAAACAGGTATGGTGAGAAAAATATAACACGCTGTTAAAATCTCGCTGAAACTAGAAGACGATGAAAGGTTTTTAATTAAAATAAATTCAGTGAGTTGAAATATTCAATTGATTTCATATAAATTATTTTGGAAACATTGTCTGAAGGAGAGTAATTGAGAAGAAATGGTATAGGCAATATCATCGGGGTATTTAAGGTATAGAACCTGACCCATTGGATATATATCCTCATCAGAAACGGAAGGATTCTGCTTGATTCGCGATAGCATGTGATAGATATGGAAATGCGGCCCGGGGCCCCGAGGGCCCGGGCCCGTGTGCTTCGCACACACGGCACACCGATAGTTACGCCACTGAATCCAACGGGAACCAAACTTGTCAGCAGTGATTTACTAAAAAAGAAAAAGTGTCGGAAGCAAAAAAAACACAAAGAACAAAGATAAAAACAAAAGAACAAAGATAAAAAACTATTAATAAAATATCTAAATACAAAATACAACTATTCAAGAACACTTAATTTTTTTTCAACAGATACGTCTGTAAAAGCCGTTGACGTTCTGTTAAAATGACATTATATCACGTTAAGGTAAAACCAAAAATCTTCTCTAACAAAAAAAAATAAAACCAAAAAGCCTCTCAAACTTTCTCTATGATTATTTTTTAATTTGTTTGTAATTTTAATTATCTTATGTTTATTTATGTTATGTTCATTAAAGTAACTTAAAATTTGTACAAATTTGAGTTTCTATGAACAAAGAAATGTTTTAAATTTTTTTTCTAGTTTTTTTAGTTCTAAGCTCAGTTTGGGTTTGCATTTTTTCCAATGATTCATTAAATTTCAAATAAATTTTCGAACAGAGAACTTTCGTAGTAGTTACTTTCACGACAGAAACTTAAACTTGCAAAAAATTCCCCGAATCTCATAAATTAAATTAAATTTGTTCGAATTATTAATGAAAAACTCTTAAAATTACTGTGCATTGAAGTTTGACGATGAATATCTTTTAAACGTTTAATTTAATCGACTAATCATAAGAAACATTTTTGTAGAGCAGTGAATTTCCTACAAAACCATGAGTTGCGCGTTACATAATGATTTCTTGTTAACGAGTTATAAAATTCAGAAGAGAAAAAATTGCCTTAAAATAATCAAATTTCAACCTTTAATAAATTTCGAACGGTGAGGTTTACAAAAAAATAGTAAGAGACCTTTTTTGTAGAGAATTCAATTTCCTACAAACATATGAGACGAGATATTTTTTCGAAATAGTAGATACCGAGATATGAATTTTTCTTTCTAATAATAAAATAAGAAGCAAAGATTAAGAGCTCAAACTTGGAGAGAATTTTTTTGAGGTGTCAATCAACCCTTTTTTCAGAGTATAAATTGAAAAAAAATAGTTGATTTTTTTGATCCACCCTAAGTAGTACGGGTAGTACCAACTATTTTATTTGGTACTTACGTAGTAATTATCAGAGTACCAGTCTTGCCGCAGGCCGCCTGCCCACATTGTTTCTCTAGAGGTATCTTCTGTCCTAGGTTCAGGGTACCGGTTTCGTAAGAATGACAGTAATTTTGTCCTATTAACACATAAAAACATAATTTCAGTACTATACTTCCTTAAGGTACGCGCACACTGACCAGACCCGCACGCGCCGCATCGACCAAAGAAAAATATTGTTTGTGTTACTTTGGGCCAGAATGATTTTCGAAAACGCGGCTGGTGCTGCTAACGTCACTCGCAATTCCTTCCACTCTACACTGAAAAAAATATTGTTCATAATATTAATGAACGTTGATTATTATTAACTGTTGTTTATTAATACTATGAATCTAATTTCATCAATATAATGAAAATCTGGTTATTAAATTAATGTAAGATTTTCATTAATATAATGAACGCGTTCATTGTCCCAATGAACGCGTTCTTTATTTTAGTGCTGAAACTTTAATAAACACATATTCATAATATTAATGTACTAAATCATTGTGACAATGAACAATGTTATTAATACAACGAACACACTACATGATATTAATGTACGCGGTTATTAATATCATGAATAAAATATTAGGGCTTAAATGTCCGCCATGTTGATCGGTACTTTAATAACGTCTGTATGGTTGAGTTATTCAGTGAGGCTCTAGTTTCATTAGAGCGGTAAGTGTTATCTTCAATATTTTAAATATTTTAAATAAAAGTCCTATCGTATTGTAGTTAATTTGTTGTGTTGTCAAATCAAATTCCGCTGTGTGAGATCTCTGGTGTAGGTATTCATTAAAACAGCGGTTTCCAAATATGTTTCAGAAGATAAAAAACAAAAAGAAGAAAAACATAGTAACAAGTCGAGACATGGAACTGATCATGGTAAATTCGAATGTTCTTTTAATATTTGGAATTTTAATTATTTTGATATGTCTTTTAGAACCGGAAGGAGATGTTGAGACCTGCCTTCAAGCCCTCAAATTCGACAATTTAACATCGGACCCACTTGATGCGACTTGGAAAGCCTGTTGCAAATTCGTCTAGACGTTATCAAGTCTAAGGATACAACTAATATAATGAAGAAATGGTCTTTTTATAGAAATCCCTCAGGATATCGACTGGTAAATTAATTTTCTTATTATAATTTACCCTAAAATTAATAATAACATTACTATTCTCTTCGTCGATTCGATTTTTTTAATTTTTAATTTGTATATGCTATATCGAGTTTAATAAATTATTATTAGTTTATTGCACTTGTTTTTTATTAATAATTCCTAATGGAAAAATTTACTGTGCTCGTAAGTAAGTCGGCACTATTAGTCATTTTGTTACCTTTGTAGCTAAGGGCTTGTTCAAATGGAAATCTATTTATGGTAGAATTATATCAGTTAGTTGGCTGGGAAATGACTATCAATGACATTTCATATCAATGACAGCGATCTTCATCATCGATTATACGGTATAACAAGAGTTACTAATAGTGTCGACTTTTAAATGTATAACTAAATAGGTTATGAAATTATTTCATTGTATTAATGATAACGGTTCATTAATACAATGAAATAAATTTCATTGTATTAATGATACGGTTCATTAATACAATGAAATTCTTTCATTGTATTAATGAAATCTGTTCATTGTACCAATGAATGTGTTCTTCAAATTAATGAACACTGTTCATTGATTTAATGAACTTAAAGTTCATAGAGTTAATGAATTACTTTTCATTGTGCCAATGAAATCGTTCATCGGCTCAAAATTAATTGTTTAATTCATTATATTAATGAACTTTTTCATTATATTTATGTCGACTTTTGGTTCAGTGTACGTAGGTAGCCGAAGAGGAGATTAGAAATTCAATATACTAAGAAAGTTCGCAAATTTTTCATGGCTCATATTGAAAAAAATTTAGTTCATCCTCAATTAAATATTTAAATAATGTGGATTTTTGCAAATATTGTGAACCTATAACTTTCGATTCTTTCTCGTGATTTCTTCTTCTCCTATTAGCAAGGAGCTTATAATTATTTCTTGTTCGTTGTCATTCATTGTCGAGAAATATTTAAAAAAAACCACTTATCACCGCTGACAAGACTCTGGAAGCGACTGATGAGAAATTCGATTGGCAAATGCGGATGTAGTAGGGGCAAAAAGAAACAAAATAGCGAATAATGCGAATGTGCGCGACAAGAAAAAAAAGTGCGATTCGTGCGGCGAGTGCGGTGCTGGTCAGTGTGCGCGTACCTTTAATCTTCTTTTTCGAAAGTTTGAAGTAAAACAATAATAATAATATTTTTTAAAAAACTTACTTGGTTTATCAGGCGGTATTATGTCTATTGCTGAAAAAACTAGGGAAACTATTACCAAAAAGCTTAGGGAAAATAACAGCAACTTCATTTTGCTGTAATTTTTAAAAACAATACAGTTGTGTTGCAAAATATAAAGTAAGACCCGAGATAAAATCAGTAATTTTCAGTACTATTGTTTAAAATTTTATAATAACAGGGTTGTACTAAGCAATCTTATTTTTTCAAAACAAAAACAGGTCAGTAATAGGGCATTCAATCGGGGCAATCGGGGGATTATAATTTTTCGATCCCGGGATAAATTAATTACGTTGAATTTATATTATACAGGGTGTCCCAGAAATAAGTGCAAGTATTTTAAGGAGTGGTAGATCTCGATAAAAGAAACATATTTTCTCTTTATCGTTTTACAAATAAGTCCAAAACAACGGAGTTATTTTATTTTGAAAATTTCAAGAAAAAAAAATTTTTGCTCAAATTTTGAGAACCACTGGATCTTTTCTGGATTTTCTTTCTTGTAAATATAATCTAATACCTATGTTGCCATATTATCAAGAAATTATGAGTTATTTAAGTAAACTTTTTAAGTTTATTTAACAAAAAAAGCATTAAAAGGAACTAAAATATACATTTTTTATTTAATTTACATAACCAAACGAACAAACACAGCATAACACAGGATGATGAAAGATACTAAAATATTAAGATTACTAAAATAACAACTTATGCAGTAACAAAGATGAGAATCTAAATTTGTTTTTTGAAACAATTTCTTAAAAAAACAAGCTGATCAAAAGAGACCCCGCGACGAAAAAATATAAGGTACGTTGTTGCCATATATTCAGGGTTGTTTATAAGCGCATATTGTACTATCATGAAAGACTTGTGTACGATTTAAATTAAAGAAAAAATGTAATGATGAATCCCGAAAGTCTCGGGATTAAATAAAAGACAATCCCGGGATTGAAAAAATGTCCGGGATCCCGGGATTGAATGCCCTAGTCAGTAATGACACGAAAAGACAGCCACCTTAAAATTTTCATTTATTTTAAAATTCAATATTTTTTGTTCTGGTAGTCCGATTTTTATGATTTTTTGAGCAATTTGTAGCTAAATTAATTGACTTTTTATCCTCTTTTTAAATTAAAAATCAAAGTTTTCGTCTGGCTATTATACGAGGGAAAACAAAATGTTAGTATTTTGGTAAAAGTTTGAAACACCCTGTGGAATTGTTTAATAAAGTAAGAGATTTATAAACAACTTTATCGTCAAGATGCATCTATTCTCGATTAGTTTGTTTTTGATTCATCTCAATAGCTCTTTTTTTGACGGAGATATTCGGTTTTGAAGAAGACAGTAACGTTTAAAAGCATTCCTTTACTTTTGATTCTAATCAAAATAGCTATGATATTGTGTTTATTGTTTTTTGAATGTCACTGTCATTGAAATGTCATATTATTATTGTTTTTCGGCAGTAGAGATAGTTTTAAGTTCAGAATTTGTATCGGCTATTGTTGCTTTTATTGAACATGTTACCGTAATATTTTACATAGTTACTAATATTTCTATGTTTCACACTGTATATAGGTTAATTATAAAAATATTTTGTGATATCGCGTATTGTATTACAACGTAGACATTAAATCTTTTGAAATAGAAATGGAATAATTAGAAATCAACACGAAATATTGCTTTAAATGAAAATTACGTTTCTGAATTCTCAGAAGCAGAGTGGTAAATGAAAACAATATTTTTTTGGGGGTACTATAATATATTTTTAGGAAATTTCAACATTATAATGGTTGAGGACAACAGTTTGGATAGCTTTTTCTTAAGTCTGGCTTGGATACTCCTTTGGGTCCAGCCACAGCTCCACATCTATAATATAATGAAAAGCAAAATAAAAAAATACGCAAAAAATAAAAAAACTTGAAAATTAAATAATGCATTTTTTGCCTTATTTATGAAAATAAGTATAGAGTATATTATATTTTCAGAAAGCTCATAAAAAGGCAAATAAAATAAGAAATAATATACAGGGTATCCTATTGAAAAAAAAAATATATAAAATATATTATATTTATATTTTAAAATATATTTTATAGGTATTAAAAAAATGTAGAAGGAATTGGCGCTGGGAGGCACGTATAGCCGCCCATACTAAATCCGCCTTATCTCAAAAACTGCGACTTTGACTGATTTTTTATGTTATTACAAATTTTGTTGCAAATATTATTCCTAATCTTAAATTGAAAACCGCGTTTCGCTAGCTACTGTAATTTTGGAGTTACGATTTTTTAAAATTTTTAACCCCCTCCCATACCCCTTTACCAACCCCCCACCCCCACCAAAAACTAATGGCCAGATTCTCGGGTGCCACAGTATTTTTGTGTCAAATTTGGTTAAAATCAGTTTAGCAGTTTTTGAGTTATCGTGTTACAAACGGACAGACACCATGAAAATATTTTGTATTTAGGTCATTTATGATCCAAATAACTCATTTTGAGTGAAATTAAAAAAACTTTTTTTTGCCGATCTTAATAGCCTACCATACCTATTGGTATGGTCGGCTAAAAATGTCAAACATTTGTCATTTTTTGTCTTGAGGTTCAAAATTGGTAAAACATAGCTATCAGTTTTGAATTTCTCGTTTGTTCTTCGAATTTATGTAAAAAAAGGAGCCAAAATATTGATTACGTGTTATCAATATACTTACGTTACTAAAGTAAGGGTACCATCGCCACCACAACTGGCTTCAGCACATTGATTCTTCACCTGTACCGTTTGGCCGTTATTTAGAGGACCTGTAATATCAGCAAAACAATGCCCTGGGGTACCTAAAAAAGCAACAATTCCAATCAAATATTCACTTTCTTTTGAACGAGCATTAAAAATTAAAATGACATTTCGGAGTCAATCAGATTCTGAGTCAACCAATGTCGGGCTCAGGTGGCGCGGCAAAAAATAGCGGACACATTTTTCAATAATAGTATTTTGTAATTATTATACAGTTTAAAGTATGCTTTTATGTAGAGATATTTGTGTCTTTTCTGTACCTACCTGTCCACAACTACTCTAAATACTCTTTTTTTAATAATCATTTTTTGTATGTTAATGTAGGAAATGTTGAAAAATTGATTTATAAAAAACATTTAAAATCAATTTTAGTATTATTTTGCAAATTAGACAAAGAAAACCTCCCTACGCTGGGTGCCAGCTCACTGAAGGATAGAAGGTAATGAAAAAGTAACCTATCCTGGACCGAACTAATCTCTGTAAAATCGTCTCAAATCCGTCATACAATATGTGTATGACAATGTATAACTCAAGGAAGAATTCATTTTGCTTCCAATGGTTAATTTTTCTAAGGTAATATAACTTGGACAATAAAATTTGAAAAATCAAATTCATACAAAAAATATGCCGCTTACCAGGTTTTTTTGGATAATGTGCCAATGCTGTAAAACTCAAAGAAACCACCGCAAGAAAACTTAAGAAAAACAGTACTAGCTTCATCTTGCTTTTGGTTATTTACTGTGGAATTGTTTATAACAATGGATTATCACTCGAATACTGCGAGATGTACCGTCATGTCTTCAATATTAGTACTTTTATTTAAAGATTTGATGGACAGGGTCGTATTCAGGAACGATAGTGCAAGAATGAAAATTAAAAATCTATTTTTTTAATTTTAAACACGTTTTTTAGAGAATTTCATATTTATATGCTCCACTAAATGTCGTAAATCTATAGTACCGTATAATCGAAAAAAAACGGCGTCCAGTTGGCTGGGAAAAGACGATCGATGACATTACCCATGTAATTTTACATATAAAAGACAGCGATCTTTATTTCATAGCCATCGCCGACGCGGTTTTTTTTTGTCATATTGTATAATATTCTGAGGATTTTTATTACACATATCTTTCTCTTTTATGATTATTTTATGAAGAATAAAATTTAAATTATACTTTTTGCGAGTTTGGGCATTAACACTTTTCTATGTTTATTTTATACTAGCGTGTACCAGCGACTTGGTTCGCGTCGAATTAATCATTTGTAATTGTGATGATAAAGCAAAGCAAGAATTTCCATTAACATACAAACTGGATAAAATTTTCTCACATTTATATCAGCATGAGGAAAAACAATATGGCGATATTATTATATAACTTGGTTTTATTACTTATTTTTACTTATGTTTCATCTCGTTCGAATTTGACTTTCGAAAAATCCGTTTGCCAAAAATAAGCTTTTTACGTCAAGCAGTTTAAGCAGAATCGTGGTTAAGAAATTACCTAACTTTTTGGAACACCCTGTATGATTTTATAAAAAATTTCAAAGTATGTAAAAAAAACAAATAAATTATGCTTGTCCAAGCGTTTTCCCGAAAGACTAACCGTTTTTTAAATAACAAATATTGTAATATTTGAGGGGCGTTTTCACCCTCTTGGAATTTGAGATTCGAGAAACCCGTCCTTATCGAACCTCTACACTCCACAGTCAATCCGTTTGCCAAAAATCAGCTTTAAACGTCAAGCAGTTTAAGCAGAATCGTGATTACTCAATGGTCATATTTTATGAAACACCCTGTATAAATTTATAAAAAATCTTAAAACATGTAAAACAACAGAATAAAATATACGTGTTTAAGCGTTTTTTCGGAAACTTGACCGTTTTTTAAATAAAAAATATTTTAATATTTGAGGGGTGGTTTCACCCTCTTGGAACTGGAATTTCGAAAAATCCCTTCTTATCGAACCTCTACACCCTAGAATCAACCTGTATGTCAAAATTGAGCTTCTTACGTTGAGTGGTTTGAGCAGGATCGTGATTAATCAGTATGTCAGTCACTCAAGGATTTTATATATTAGCCTTGTATATATATTTTTTATAAACAAGGATATTAGTATAGATTATTTGATGTACAGTATGTCCCCGGATTGTTTTTACAAGAGGAAAAACTTTTTTATTATTGACAATTTGGGAAAAATGCATTCTTCATAAAAAATTGTGCTTGTTCTAAAATGGTTAATCCCGTTTATACTTTCCCAAATTTACATAGCGTTTTAGAGGAAATTAAAAAAAACTTGAAAATATGCTTTTAGAACAAGCAAAATTTTTTATGAAGAATGCATTTTTCTCAAAGTATCAATAATAAGAAAATTTTTCCTCTTGTAAAGACAATCCAGGGACATACTGTGTATTTTTTGTATAGTTAGATTTTTCGTTTAAACATTTTTCTTTTCAAGTCCATCTCTGTACACCATTAAACTTAACTCAAGATTAAAAAATAAAAACAGGTTATAATATTACTTGTCCAAGAACAAGGTTTTGGTAATTCCAATATTTATTTTTATTGTAAATGATTTGTTTATGCATATTTCACGTAAACAAATTGCGATATTTATGGATGTGGTGAGACGACACTTAAAACTTTTTATTTAGCTCATCTTTTATTCATTTCAAATTAATGTTTTTTTAGTCGAATGCATCGAATAATATCTGCATCTGATTGGTCAAAAAAATGGTTATAAATACTTACTTAAATATGTTTCTACACAGTTTTAAGGAGCTTAAAGATCAAAAATAATAAACAAAAAATAATCTATACTAATATATAAAATCCTTAAGTGACTCACTGATTAACCATGACCCTGCTCAAACCACTCAACGTAAGAAGCTCAATTTTGGCATACAGGTTGATTCTAGGGTGTAGAGCAGTGATTCCCAAAGTGGTCCAGGTGGACCCCCAGGGGTCCACGGGAGACTTGCTGGGGGTCTACGTAGGCGTGAACAAAAAATGGGGGTCCATAAGATGTTAATGGGGGTCCACGAAAATTTATCTGCTTTTGATAGTAAAGAGCAAAATGTAAGCATAGTTTTTATAAGGGCCTACCTACATTGTTTTTAAGTACCTATCTAAGCAGATAATATTTTAATAAGGCAAGCGACTGTTACTTGTCCAAACTTGCGTATTCGATATTACGTACAATTTCGTGTACAGACTTGCAAAGCGCTATCCGCCCGACAATGCTTAATGCTTGTTCAGACATGAACTTGATCACCACTATAAATACTTGATGCCAAAGGCAAACGCATTCATTTGTTTCCGGAATTTCGAAAAAAAGGCGGAATTTGGAAAAAAAAGTTGTGAGAAAATTTATATCTGTGTTTGCTAGTGCCGGAGAAAAGTAAGTAACCTACCTTTTTTTTGTTATAGTACTTAAGTATTTTGTTTACGTGTACTAGTCGGTTGATCACAACGGCCTGTATAGATAGGTAACTTAGTAACTTACAGATATTTTAATTGTCCTCTTTCGATTTGAAGACAAACACAGCACGTTTTATTCAATTGTTTTTTCACGAGAGAAACACTGCCTCTCTAAAAAGGCCGAATAAGCAATATTGCAGAGCAATTAATTTTGTAATTTTTCTTGCAAATAACTACTAATTTTATAAAACAGTAATTTCATAATCATTTTAAATTGGTTTTGAAGTAACTATTTTATCAAAACTATTCCTTTTCGGAAAGAGCGAGCGGTGCGCGGGCGACGGGAAAAAGGGCGGGGCTTGGACTTCGATGCCAGTTTGTCACGTTTTAACAATGAAGCCGCAGACAAAAATACGCAAATACACGGAGCGCGTGAACTCATTGATTTAATAAAATGTTAGTTATCGTTTTATGGACAATTTTGGGATTTCGACTTTTATTTTTTCCTACACAAATATGATCCCAGTATTCGAGTACTGAGTACACCAATTTTTATTTATACTATTATTAAAATTAGTGGTAAATTATGTACTTTAAAATTGATACCGTTTTGTGAAAACGTCTGTATTTGTCTCAGCGGTTTATTAGTTGGTCCTTTACAAGCCGTAATTCTATTTCCGCGTGCTGACAAAGGCTGCGGTGTGATACCTATATTCAGAAAAAAAACTTGTTACTAAAACATTTTTTTTTTTTTACAGGTAAGGTAACTGACACGAAACATGGCTACAGCAAAGAAAAAATGTCGACAATATAGTATCGATTATTTGAAATATGGTTTTGTTCCATCAGAGGCAGACAAACAATTGCCCATGTGCCTATTATGCAACAAAGTTTTGAGCAATGACTCTATGAAACCATCAAAGCTCGAAGATCATCTAAAAAGGTGTCATACTGATAAAATAGGTAAAGATTTAAAATATTTTCAAACATTGAAAGAAAAATATGGAAAGAGACCCACCATGCACAGTATGTTCGCTTCAACATCTCAAAGTAACGATGATGGCTTGCGGGCATCTTACAATATCTCATTACTTATAGCAAAATCTGGAAAACCGCACACTATCGGAGAACAATTAATTTTACCCGCTGTTGAAGAGGTTTTAAAAACTGTTTTGCACAAATCTCCATTTGACGTACTAAAAAGAATTCCATTAAGTAACAATACTGTACAAAGACGCATTGATGAAATGAGCTCTGATATCGAAAGCTTTTTGTGCAATCATCTGCAAAAAACTCATTTTTCTATACAACTGGACGAGTCAACGTTACCCAGTAATGAAGCATTACTATTGGCATATGTCCGATTTATTGTTGAGGAAGAAATTCACGAAGAATTGCTATTTGCCAGAACTTTGGAGACTGACACTAAAGGCGAATCAATATTTAATGTCCTGAGTAATTTTTTTACGGAAAAATCGATCCCATTTACAAACATTATTTCAGTGGCAACAGACGGAGCTCCTGCAATGGTCGGGCGATATCGTGGGTTTATAAGTCATCTCAAAAGAATTATACCAGGACTTACAGCTATTCATTGCGTAATCCACCGACAACATCTTGTGGCAAAACATTTAAGTGACAGGTTGAACCAATCTCTTCATTTTGTAATAAAAGCTGTCAACAAAATCAGAAGCAATGCATTGAATACGCGTTTATTTGCTCAATTGTGCGACGAAAATGATGAAGACTTCCAACGACTGCTCTTACATACTGAAGTACGCTGGTTGTCGAAAGGTGCATGCTTAACGAGATTTTACTCTGTTTTCGATTCCATATTAGAGTTCTTAGAAAGTAGAGATCCAGATTTAAAAGAAAACTTGATCAAATTCAAAGCAGACATTGCGTATTTGACAGATTTGTTTAAAAAATTTAATGATATTAACTTGCAGTTACAAGGGGACAGCCTGAATTTAATAAAAACAAAGGGGATAATTTCGGCTTTTCTTGGGAAATTGAAATTTATGAAGCAAAACATTAGTCGGCGCGAATTCTCTCAATTTCCAAACTTGTCGCAGGTAGAATGTATTGATGAGGATATCCATACCTACAGTCAACATTTAAGTGCTCTGCATGATGACTTCAAAACCAGGTTTGAAGATATACTGACGATGGATATACCACCATGGATCATAAATCCATTTGATGAAACGGAAGTGGCCAATGTTGTATTACAAGAGGAGCTGCTCGAGCTAAGCACTAATGAGGAGCTGAAGGTGAAATTTAGAAAAGGCTACCCAACATTTTGGCTGCAAGCAGAAATACCCGAAAAATATCCTGGACTGTGGGAAATCGCAAGGAAATTTTTAATAGCTTTTCCCT